GGTTCGTGGTGGTGAAGACATTGACAAAATTCAATTGTCTGTGTCATTCATAGAAGAATTGCAAGGGGAAAAAACGATATCATCTTTACAGTCAAAGAAGTATTCCACAGGTGTCAAATTATTTTTTACAGATACAGACGTCAATTTTTAGGTACTGTTAGGTAATTACTCTTGAAATTCACTGTTCAATCCAACTCTTGGAATTTTTCAATCAATTCTATTTAATCTCCCGATCTATTCTCGAAAAATCCGTCAATTTCTTGAATATTTCATTAACTTTCGATCCGCAAAACCATAAAGACCCTCGAAAATGGCAAAAACCGTTGTCTCAATTTTATTTTCATTTGAATATTAAAAATTCCAAGCAGCTGTCACCGAAATTTCCAAAAATTTCAAAACAGTGGAGGAAAAAATAATTCAGTAGTCACGAGATAAATGATCGAAAGTCCAATCAGTTTTTGAGTTTTCGGGGAATATCTCGAAATTTCATTGATAAAGGGAAATTTTTGTAAGAACCTTTTTTGTAGCTCTTATTCCTCTTTGCAATAAAGACATTGACAAAAATGTTCCTATCTGTCTCGGATTCAGAGATATTCCTTGAAAATTCGACGAGGGAATTCCGAACTTCTTCGCTACTGAATTAAATTATTCTCGAAGGAGTTCAAGTCTATTTGATCATAAAAATATCTTTTTTTTGATGGAAATAAGGGGTTGAAATAAGACAGTAATCGGTGGCGTGCAGCAGCTCCCAGAGCCGGATCTCATCCGTCGCTTCACTGTAAGTTCAAATAAATTAAAACAGTCAAGTGACACCCGATGGGATTCAATAAAACAAAATAAAGTATCAAATAGTCAAATAGTAAAAATTCACGATGGAAAAAAAAGTACGTACAGACGCGGTTTAATGCGATTCACCTGCGTTATTGGACAAATTATTAATAAATCCTCAACATTATTTAGACATATTAATTTCGGTCATATTAATTTCTTTCACTATCGATAGCACGAGTGCATCAGGTCTCTGGAACAGAAATCAGAAAACACGTTGAGAACGTAACTATTCTTTGGTGGTACTCGTTGATTGATTCCCTGACGAGATTGTTTCAGAGAAAAAGTGTTTTTCACTAAGAAGATTTACTTGACACAGAAAAATACTCGACGGTCAATTTTCTATCGTGGATTCTATGAATGATTTTTTTTTCGGAATTGCTCTTTCATTATTGACATCCAGACAATTTTTTTAAGCCATCATTGAAGTATTTTATAATATTTTTCGTTCAATTATCGTAAAAAAATTTATTTTTAAGCCTCAAAGATTAAAAAAATTACGAAGCCATGAATGATTCAATTTCGGATACATTAGCAGCCAATCGGAAGAAAAAATCTATCAACAATAAAAGATTCCCTTGTTCCCCGATAATTTCGCAGCGCGAACGATCTATTGAATCTCAACAGATAACGAAGACAGTCATTATCAATTCTAATGGATAAAACATTGATCGTATTATCATTCCTGTAAAACGACATTCCCAGATATGCCCCCTGAATTGAGGAATAATGTCTAGTCTGCGAGTGATTTATTCGGACATTTAACGATTTTTTGAATTGACGAGACAAAAAATTCTCGTGTCAAGTTAATCTTCCCTGTCAAAAGCAATTTTTTTATCTCGGTGTTGTACTGATGTTACAAGTTCTGAGGACATTTGCCCTTTGGCCTCTGAATAACGCCTAAACCGTGCCTAAACTGCCCACGTACTGAGATTAACTATTTGGAAATTTAGTCCGGATACAGAGATAGAGAGAGACTTGGTGCGACCATCTGCAAGCACAAAGCAAAACGAGAACATACGCTCAGTGGTTTTTCTTTCTCTGCCATTTTTAAATTGCCTGAGCGCTTTTCAATATTTTTTGAGCTGATACAGTAGAGCAATGGCGATCCATTGGTTCTTGGATTTTCTTTCCTTGCAATTCGAACTCACCTGAGAGGTTTATCATTATATTCTTAAGGATCTTTAATTGTCGCCAATGCCGGCACTGATTAAGAGTCTCGAAGAGTTTTCGATGCGAGAAGTGACGATTAATAATTCATCCGTTTCCAAATTTTTTTTCCGTCGTAAAAAAAAAAATCCGAAAAAAATTGTAATTCTAGAACTACCCGAAACATTTCGAGTTCAACATTTGTCAATGATAAATTATTGATTTCAATATTGAATATTTGAAAAATGATTTAATCGAAGAATTCTCTGGGTGCAATTTCCGAATGGAAATTGAAATTGGAGAATAATTTGAAATTACGTTGGCGTTACCATCGAAATTCAGAATTAGTCGTTCGTTTCTCATGCACCAACCGACGAGACTCGTAATTAGTGATGAAAATATTGCAAAAAAAAAATAGAGAAACTACCCTAAAATGCTGACCTAATCTGATTGTAATTCTATAATGTAGCGCTGTGAGAACAGAGCAAATCTAGTCCTCAAGTTAATATCTGTCATTAGACCCGAAAAACTCGATTGTTTCATTAATTATCATTTTATCTGTTTCAACGAGTTTGTAGCGTATTCACTTTGAGATTGTTTGGCGAACGCTCATGATCACAGCTCAGTCGTAGGCCACACAGATTCTGTACTGTCACTCTCTCCGCTGTAACATCTCAGAACAGAAGGACAAACCATACATTAGTCTTTTACGGCCAATCTTCCAACCGTTTTTTTTTTACTTTAGTTCTTTAATATCCTTTTATTATTTCTCTAGAGTATAATATCTCGTCAAGTGATTCTAATTCTTGGCTTATTTCCTACGTCACCTGACTATTGATGAATTGCTCTGCAGCTTTATACATTTCGCTTTTTGTAATTTTTTTCAACTCTTTTCTAATTTATCTGTGTGCATGTTCTTTTCTGTTAGTGTTTTCATTATTTCATACGGGTTTTAAAGTATCTGGCAATATACCTTCCACGCGGGCTTTCTTCATTGGTGGCTCCATGTTATTTTGGGGTGGAGTCGTCTGAAATTCAGAATTATTTTTTGTATTAATTCATTTCAGTTCCGTTTATTAAAAAAAAAATAGGATAAAGCCGGTCAAAATGGGACGCTTGCGAAAAATCATTTTTAACTTTGACATATTTTTCCCCTCACAGAATAAAATCAAAAAAGTTCCATAATTTCAATAACCCGTGAATAAAAAATTTCACTCAAGAAAAATCTCAGCCTTGAAATTAATCTAAAACTCTCCCAGATGAAAAAAAAAACTATCAAAAACACAAATTATACGGAATGAATTCAAAAAAGAATTGAATAAAAAAATTCCAAAAAAAAAGGTAAAATTTCCCTTGAAAGACTCACTAAATCCAATTACCACTTGTTTTCACCCCCAAATGGCTGATGAATCAATACCATCAGACGCATAAATTACCAATAAGAAAATCAATAACCTCACGCCAAGAGGCTGAAGCTCCAACCGATAAAATCAGCTAATGACTACCGAAGAAACCTCAAAACCCCAAAAATAATAAAAAGATTCAAAAAACAACAAATTGATGAGAATTAAATGTACACGTGAAAATTTCCTTCAAACTGAAAGTATCCCGAGCATCAAATCGCCATTACCAATGCCAAACGTCGAAAAACGTCTGTCCAACGCCAGCCGATAGCCAAAAAACCGAAGCAAATAAATAAATCCACTCACCATCGCCATTGTACCATTCATTTTTCCGTGGTAATCACAGAAATTCCCAATGGGTTTAGCAGAGTCACTTTATTCTGTTATTATCCACAAAACAATGATTTTTCACGGAGAACGTTTACGCCGCAGTGTAAAATGGTGGATTTCTTCCCCTTGCCGGAACCGGAAGTCACTTTAAGCTAATCAAATCCCTCCAACCAACCCCCATCACCCCACCTGATTAAAACCCTTGGAAAATGATGCAAAAATATTTCCAAATGATTTTTCAAGCCTACGACATTGATCCCAATCATCTCAAGTCATTCGGAAATTTGTCATTGAACAAGTCATTCTCATTTGATTCCTGTGGTCCGTTATCTCAAAACATGTGTTGATGAGGACCTAGGTTATCTTCAAAAGGTGTTTGAAAGCCAAAACCCTATTTAATCATGTCTAATCAAGGGTATCAGGTCCAGATAATTAACGAGGAGAAGGTAAATGTAGCGGTTTTTGTGGATCTCGCATACTCGTTTTAGAATAATAGTATATTGCTCACCTAGGGAGGAAAAGTAGACAAGTCCTTCCCACGTGCAATAGTATATTATGCAACACGTGCGTAATATATTTTTTTACTCGTGGGAGGTTTGTAACACGAGCCGAAGGCGAGTTTTACAATCCCACGAGTCGAAAAATATATTACGCACGCGTTTCATACAAAATTTTATGTCATTGCGCCCGGAATCCGCGATTTAACCGAGCGAAGCGAGGTTAGAATCGCGTGATTACGGGCACCGATGGCATAAAATTACTACCCTCGCCTTCGGCTCGGGTGGTAATTTTGCACGTGGGAAATGCTTGTCTGATTATCCTCCCGAGGATTGCATACGATTTTTCTGTCGATATGCGGCGAAAGTGACGTTTCTAGAATGCTCACTTTCGGCGCATGTAGGCAGAAATAATTATTGAATTTCACTTCAATGTTCGATACCTCGAAAACGGTGGAATGAAAAATGTTTTTTTTTTTCACATTTGAAGGGATTTTTATGCGATTTAAAATGAAGACTGGTCCGTTGAAATCGTATCGTTTGAAACGGGAGGTATTGAGGATTGAAGTTGACTTTATTTTTTTTTGTGCAGGGCAAAGGTCTAGTGGCTCTTCGTTCCTACGAAGAAAATGAGACAATTTTTGAGGAAAAACCAGTGGTTTGTTGTCAATTTGCCTGGAACGAAGACTTACGATATTTGGCGTGTGACAACTGTCTGGCACCTCTGGAGACAGCTGAGGAAAATGCCAGAAGACTAAGTGGAAAAAAAGATTTAGTTCTCCCATATCCTGAGTGCTGCGAGACAAAAACCCAATCAGTTACTGAATGTCCTGCCTGCGGAATTAAATATTGCAGTGAAGGATGTCTCCTCGAGGCCTCGCAAAAGTAAATAACGAGAACAACACCTTGATTCAAGGTGAAAATATCAGAAGACTTTTTTTGTGGCTGATTAAATTTTGTCCAAAAAGGTGTTATGATATTTTTTCCTCAAAAAACATTTCACTGAAAAATCGGAGTTATTGAGAGATTCCCATGCTTCTAGATATCACAAGATCCTCTGTCTTCAATCCAGAGAAAAAAACGAGAATCATCCACTGGTGCAGTTGAAGGAGACGTGGAAGCAGATGCACTACCCTAGTGAGACTGCCACAATAATGCTCCTAGCCAGGATGATTGCCTTCGTCAATCAGAGTGAGGACAAAGCCAGTGCCCTCTCGATTTTCAATCAATTTTGTCACAGAACTGTCAATGAAGACCAGAAAATAGCCCATAATCTCTTGGGAGAGCAGTTCGTGGGGCAGATTGATGTCCTCAGGGAGATGATGGACAATGCTTTGAACAAGGAGAATGTCCCATACGTGAGTTTTCAAAGCACCTATTATAATTTCACTCTCCGATCGTTTAAAAAAAAAACACATATAATAATTATTTCAGTGGTTCACACCAGACGGTTTTAGAAGTCTTCTGGCTCTAGTGGGAACCAACGGCCAGGGGATAGGAACGAGTGCATTCAGTCGATGGGCGAAAAACGTTTCAGCTCTAGAATTGCCCCAGGACAGCAGAATGCAGGTGAACATGCTGATTGGCAGGATTTACGATGACATGGAGAAAGGTAAAAATTCTCTAAACCCTGGGAGATAAAATCCTTTTCAAAAAATTACTGTTCATTCTTATATACATTGAACATGTCATTTAATAATTGATATCTGCAATTTGTTTTAGTCGTTGGACCTTTCTGGAATAATGAAGGCTCTGGACTCTACAGTCTTCAATCCTCGATGAACCACAGCTGCTTGCCAAATGCAATCGTCGAGTTTCCCTTCTCCAACAGCACCCTCGTCGTCAAAGCCCTCCGGGGTATTCAACCAGGGGAGGAAATTTGTATTGCATACCTAGACAACTGCGAACTCGTGCGCACTAGAGTGTCCAGACAGGAAGTGCTCAGATCTCTTTACTTGTTCTCGTGTCGTTGTGATAGGTGTCTGGAGCAAGCTGATGACTATGATGTCTCGTCTGAAGACGATATGTGCGACGAGGGGTCCGATGGTGAGTGAGGGGACAGGAGAGCTGGGGCAAAATCGATTCTTTTGGAGGTTTTTTATTGGTGCAGGGTTATTTTTTATCGCTCGTTTGTCCACCCGCTGTGCAAATGAACAATTAAGAAAATTATTCTGCACTAATTACTCTAGCCTCCGCATGATTGAATGAGTTTTCTACCGACAATGAATTTTTCTGAACATCCGAATTATTATTCCCAAACCCTAGAGCGTCGATTTTGCCTCACCCCAGGTATGTAAATCTGAATTTCGTATGACGAACAATTATGTGGAAAAGTTCTTCAATTTTTATTAATACCACTTGTCCTATAAAAACCTAAATAAAGATTCAACATTATATCACGAAATACGACAGATGATAAATCTGTTTGCATTTCTGTACAAATTGTCACCTACAATTGAGAAAAAAAAATTGATGCTCACGCCACAGCGCAATTGTCTATGGAATATCAATGAATTTTTTAAAATAAAAATTACGTGGCGTGCTCAAAGTTTCACTGTCAGTTGATTCTTGCCAGTTTCCATGAGCTTTGTTACGTAGTTTGGAAGGGGATTGACGAATATCCTCTTCTCGTAAAGTCTCAGGAGGCTTCCAGCAACGTCGTGACTCTTGAAATCCCAAGCAATTTTTATTTTTTCATTTGGAAGTTGAGAGGATATTTCTCGGTCAGCCCAGGGGGCCTCTGTCCCAGTGATTTCTAAAACGTCGATCGTGGGGGGCTCGTTACCAAAACATTGGGATATGTATTCTCGTCTCTGCTTATGCTGCCTGAAATCTGTCCCTGTAGCTCTGCAAAATAATTGAAAATCCCATCACTAATCTGCATGCAATTCAATCTAATCATATTAATATTTAAAAAATTCTATTTTAGACATTTTTTCTATGATTCTTATTACCTCTTTGAATATTCGATGAGTTTGTACATGCAAATTAAATATATAAGTGTTTGGGAGGATAATTAAAATTAAATTGTTGGTGGAGTGTCAGGACTCACTTGACAACTGGCTCAGAATCCGTATACTTCGGAGAATTGCACAAATTTCCAAACTGCACTACACCTTGCTTCTTCAACTCCAGCATTTTGCTAAGAGATTTCAAATCCCTCCCCATGAGTTTGAGTTTTTTGCTGGTGTCGAAGCCAAGACCCTCGACGATTGCCTGTAAAAATTCCTTGGTGACTCCTTTTTTCGAGCAGAAGAAGTACCCGTGCCTGAGGAACAGGGCAAAGTACACCGGGAGGAGTCGCTTGGACCTCTTCTTCTCGCACATGGAGATAAAAGTGATCCCCTGGTGCGTTACGACGTTAATTGCCATGTCTATTTGGAGCATTTGAAACGTTTGAGACATTCTCTCCTGCATTTCCCTGTTTGGGATCAATCTCTGGCAGTTCATGACACCTTGGAGCTCGTAACCATACCAAACCTTCTTGCTGGAGTGTCTGCTAACGTCTGGAGATAATTAAAGTTACAGTCGAGCGATCATGGGACTCAAAATCGCGGAATACAAGAGAGCTAGCGAAATTTTTCACATGACCATGATGATTCTCGTCATCCACAAAAATTGGGTTAATACTCTGAATAATTTAATATCAAATAAATTCTTATAAATCGAAATCTTGAATATTTCGACTCACCAATAACTTCGAGAATAGCCAGTCTATCCTTTAGCTCTTTATCGTCAATCTTGTGCCTCTAAAAATTCAAAGTAATCATTAAAGTCTGGAGTCCGGTTCCTAGGAGTAAAAAATATTAACTGGACTCACAACAATCGCCTGTTCGATGATCCTGAGTGCACAGGAGGTCGTAAAATTCTCATGATTCTTAACGAGTCTCTTTCTAATATCATTCCAGGAGATCTCCGGAAAATGTGGTAACACCGAGCCCTCAAGCTCCTCAAATTTGAATTTTTTTATCGTCGCACTCAGCTGACGCTTAACATTCAAGGCCACTAGAATTTAAATAAACAATTGGCTAGTATCAATAAGAAAAATCGAGTTGATTCCGGTAAACAGCTGGGTTTTCAAGAAATATCTTCGAATCTAAGAGACGTATCGAAATTTTCATGATGACCTTTTTCGTCGATCTTATCAAGCATTACAAAAAAGCCCGTGACAAAAAAATCGCTATCTCTCTTAGAACCCAAGATATTCCGGTAAAACTCCACCAAATTCGCTTGTCACCCGATACTGATTTCAACAACATCAATGAAATATTCGAAAAACCGTTGGGAAGATTGAAAATAACCTCCAAAATGCTCCAAATAAGTTTATCTCGTAAAAAATGAGTAAAAAAAAATCGAAAACTCACCGGCAGGCATTTCCAAAAATCACATGAAAACTCATTAAACGTCGTAGAGTCACTTCAAACTTGAAAAGCAAAACAAATAAATAAACAATCTTGTAAAAATATTCGTTTGTAGCCGCGGGCCTTGGCGGGACAAATTTTCTCGTATTTTCCCCTAGACTCGGTAAAATCCCTGGAGTCTGGGGGATTTTTCAAGTTTCCCATATGTTTCCGAGAGGCTTCTAAGAATGGCTGCGGAACAAGACAAGATTTTGCATTTATCTCACCCTCGCCTGTCAAATACACTCCAAATAGTCTCGCCTTGCGTGTTTTTTATTTATAGTTCTTGATCAATCAGCATTTCCGGTGAGATATTACTCGTACCCCAAGTCTGGCATGATTTCTTACGGATTTTCAAATTGTCATTTTCTTTCGGCTTTCAGTCGCTTGTTTTTTGCGGTTGGATTTGTTATACGGGATTGAGAGACTTCCAGTGAATTTTTAGTGATAAAGTGATAAAGTGATAAGGATCGTGATGGCTCCTGGAGTTAATGATGGGCCCAGGAAAACTGGTACATTGCCAAAAAGTAATCGAAGAAATGATCGGAATAGGGATATTCCCAACTCCAGACAAATTCCGAGGGCTGTTTGTAATAGACGACTGCAACAACATCCCAACAATCTTGTGGGTATCTTTATTTATTTGTTTCATTTTTTGTTTTTCGATATTGCCAAGAATTTGACTAAAGACGAAAGGTTACACTGAATTTTCACGGTTTTTCCTTTTTTTAATGCCCGGTTTTTTTTTCACTTTTTTAGCTATTAATTTTTCTTTTGTTTATATTTTTTGATAAACATTTTGTTAACCTCTCAACAAACACTACGTTCACAATTCGTCGACTAGTTGCTGATATCCCCTTAAGTTTCAGGTGGCAGTGGCAATAATTGTTTTCTAGATTAATAAATAAAATATTGAGAGGAAAATTGAATTATTATCATTATTTCCATCAGATCCATAAAAATTTAGATAAAATCTTTAGATCGAGTCCTTGAAATCCGTTATTGCAGCCAGAACTACAATAAAAAGCAATAATACCCTGATGACTCGGGGTAGATAGCAATAGCATAGTTTCAATTTAGTCCCCAAAGAATGAAACTCCTATAAATAGATGACGAAAACAGTGGGGAGAGTTTCTATCTAAGAATACATATCCAGAGACTTTAAAGTCGATTCATTTGAGGTGTTCCTTCGACAGTGCCTTTACTTTTCCGTTGAAACTCTATCGCCCACGTAATATCCAATTTTTCCCTCAATATATAAATAATAAATTCATATAAGAGTCAATGAATCAATCTCTATTTCGAATTCAAATCCATTTTACTCTTTGGTTTGTGAAAAAAAACGATGAAATTGAAAGTTTCATCGCTAGATTTTCTTTAAGAACAAGACAAATTTCAATCGATCGTTTTTATTGGTTTTTAAAATTATTTTATTAATTTTTTAGCTTGACTGGCAGCCAGTTAGTGATCGGGAGCGAGGAAGAACCACCAAGAACAGCAACACGAGGTCCACATCTTCAGTTCCATCCACTTCGTATCAAGACCTCGCTGATATCGGTACGAATTTTTTTTTCTGGTTCCGAAAGAAAGTGTTGTAATCGTTGCAATTGAAGTTTTATATTTTTTTAATTGTACCGACCGATTATGTTGTAAACACTCGGAAAAAAAAATTTTTGGAGCAAGTGTATGTGACTTTTCCAAACTTCATTTCATTCGATGATTTATTTTTTCAGCATCATATCATCGACAATATAATTACACCGGTGAAGATTATTGGCAGGAAATGGCTCAACCGATAGACTCTCGTGCGCAGACACCCCCCGATCTTCCAAATTCAAAGCCCACGAACGTCGATAGAATGGTAAAAAAAATCAAAAATATACTTTCCCTAATATATAAAAAAAGAAATAATAATAAGTGCAAACTCATGGAATATTTAATCCAAAATAATAAAGCGGAAATAAGAGCTGTAGAAAAATTATTTTTAATTGATTTTTTTTTATCAACTCTCACCTGATTGGTATAAAAAAAAAATGAATGTATTTACTAAATGAATCGAATTTTGACTCCTCAGCCAGACCGTCGTCAGGTGGAAAGTCGATTGAATCAGATTCGAGACTACATCAGAGTGACATCGACGATGATGGATTCGTTGAACCAATCGTCCGATCCAGTGAGTCTTAAAATTAATCAACACGTAAAACAGTCACATCTGGATCAGTTTATTCTCACAGTAGAGCTCCTATTTTTACTCGTATTTATATTTAAATAGCGTGCACGTGCTCAACACGATAAATTATCTAAAATGGTGGAGGACCTGTGCGACAGTGAGACGAAACTAGCTAAACTCTTGGCGGATTATCGTGGCCTGCCAGATGAGGTTTCATATCATTAATATGCATTTTTCATTTTAATTTTACTGCTTACTAACTTACTTACATTTCTCTCTGGTATGTTGTACTAACAAATAGCATGAAATTCCAGCTGAAACCTGAACACCGCCAATCCCAAGGCTCCAGTCAGATCAAGTGCTTCTCTGAGCTACTGGACATCCTTGACTCTCAGGAACGCTTATATGTTGCTAATATTCATCAGAGGGTGTGTTTAGCATTAACAATTCTCATTCAGTCATTTAATTATCATTTGCCTGGGGGTTGAAAATTTTTGAGGGATTTCATACAATAACAGATTAATTGCCGGTAATGATGCAGTCGCTGACACTTGTCTCTGGTTTTCTCACTAATTAAATTCTCAATGATGCACCTACGAAATAAATCTAGAAATAATCAACTAATTCTCCAGATGGACAGAGAGGACGGAGAGGAGCCCCTGGAGTCGAAACTCCGTAAGAAGATGGAAGCGTCGCAGCGAAAACTGGCTCAACTCCAGGAGCACCAGGCGAACCTGGTGGGAATGCAGTTGAGAGTTCGTGAGAGGTTGAACGAGGCACGCCAGGCCCAGCAGCTGCTGCTCCTCCAGGAGAACGAGGAAGCAAATGCAGTGATTCCTCTGCCCTACGACAATGGCAATCGCTCTCAGCAGCAGCTGGCAAATGATGCAGATGCCCTGGAGACCGAGACTGTTGCACTGAGAGGAAAATTGGCTCAACTCCAGAGTAAGAAGAAGCAGATGGACACTCTTGTGTCTGAGCTGCAGGCTGTGGAGATGTCTGACAGGGCGAGCTGCAGCTCAGAGAATTCTAAACACGCTGAGAGGGATAAAGTTGCTGAGCTCGAGGTCCTCAAGGCACAATTGGCGCATCTCAAGGGGCTCATGGAGGAAGCAACAAGGGTCAGGGATACATTCAATTCTAATTCGGAGCAAGAGCCCGAGGGAATCAACGGATTCTGCGAGAATGGAGATGAGGACGAGGGTGATGTTGCTGCTTCTTTCAATTCTTTTGATAGAAACAGCGAGACTGACGACAGCCTGGGAAAATTTAATAATTCTAAGGAGCTGGATGTGGAACAGATTCAGGTGTGAATGGAATTCATTCTTTACTGGCACTTCTACTGATATTCATTTCATTTTTAATAGAAGGAAAATTTTTTATAGATACCATTTTTGTAGCTCTCATTTTTTTTTCTAAAAAAAATATTCACGCAAAAAATATATGTGGGAAAAATCGATTGAAATAGAATAAATAATTTTCAGGCAGTGACTCGTGAACTGAAGGAGCAACAAGTCCTCATCCAATCAGCAAGAGCTGAACTTCAACGTCTGAAAAATCCCTCCTCATTCCCACAAGCTCCAGCTCCAGTGGTATTTCTACCGGACACAACATCTCCCTCCTCTTTTCCTCCATTCACCACTGATAAGAAGCAGAGGAACAACAACACCAATAATAATCACAATAACAACAACAATACTCAGGAGATGGTACAGGGTCACGAAGCGCAGGGATCTAGGGTCCAGAACAAAAAACGACAGCTGGAGGAATTGGTACGTAAAGATCAGAGTCAGTCGAGTGTGAATCGAGACGTTGGAGCTGCTGGATGGAGCAGCAGGAGGGGCTCTAATTCCCACAGGAGTCACACTAGTACGCCTGCTAATATTTGGCCTGGACCTAGTGCTATTGGTGCGTGTCATGTTTATTATTTCATCTTATCGAACATCATTTTTCACGAGCATTCGGTCTAGTACTCCAGCAGCCCATCATCTTTATGAGTTTTAGTCTTTAACCGCTCGAATAATAACACTAGAATTATCTCTCAACTTGACGCAATGTCAGTGATTAATTATGCTATCGTATTAATTCGTCTGGTACTAATGGGTCTAATGCAATATCTTTTTTTTATATTAAATTGTCATTTTTGGCATCTGAAATCTGTCATTAACTTCAATTGATATTCCGTTCATATTTCTCATCAATTTTCCTCACAACAATTATTAATAATTTGTAAATAAATTATTAAAAAATGGCATAATAAATTGAATTTCAGTCGGAAGTTCAAACGAGCAAAGTGTAGACGGAATATCAACGACAGACAATCTCCTGGACATTGGACCGCACGTGCCGGCAATTGAGAATGGATATGGCCCGAACTGGTGGAATTTGTCAGGTCCTCCAGTATCCCAACCCCAGCCTCCAGGTCACTCCACCGAGTACTACCGACAGTTATTAATGAGCTCTCAGGCCCAACAGCTGCAGATGATGAGTACAACGATGCAGCAGTGCTGTCAGCTCCTTTGGGCCCAGCAACGAGAGCTCCAGTCGATGAGATCAGCTATAACTCAGCTACAGCAGCAGCTGAGACAGCCCCAGGCTGGAGTAAATGAAAATCGTGAGGACTACTCGAATCTCAGTCGATCAATTCATCATCTGGACAATACCCTGGACTCTACTCTCCCACCGAGCTCTTCTCTTCCCAATCTAGTCTCATTACCCACCACTTCACAGACTCCAGCTCATCCTCCCATCATAGCCTCGGCCAATTCACATCAACATCATAATCATCAACAGCTCAACAATCAGGTACCACCTGGCAATCGTGCCAACAATTACTGGGACAACTTCAGAAGGTAAAATGGATTGATCTTCGGTTTTTCATTCATTTTTTAAAAATTAATTCAGTAATCAAGAGGATAAAATCGATGTTTCGTAGCTGATCTATGAATCTGAGGGGGATAGCCAAATTTTTGTCCAATATTTTTTTCTGGAGTAGGATGAGAGCTAAAAAAAGGTCCCTCCAACAATTTGGCTATCTTTCAGTGATTTGAGATATGGTGGGAGGAATTATCTGGGAACGAAATCTACTTGTTTGTGTTTGCCTCTTTGCTACTGAATTTTTTACGAGTTACGAATTTTTTTCGATCAATCCTATCAACATTTTTGATGGGAAATATTCTATGAGAAAGGGCAGTAGGAGTTAATTTAATCATATAGAAAAATTTAATTTTATTCCCTTCTTTATGGGATTGTACAGAGAAATTTAAAGAAATTCATTGAAATATGGAGATTAAATTGAGTTGAGTCGTGGAATTTTTGAAATATTCTCGGGATTCCCGGAATTATCGTAAAAGGAAATGAGGGGAATTTTCCGCGGGAAAACGGAAAGTGTTTGAATACATTTTAAGAGGCCAGTTTTCAGCGAATATCTCGCAATTGAAGAGAGATAGCGATATTTTTCTTCAATCCCGAGATATTTGGGAAAAAATCATCTGCAAAAAATGTGCACTTATCGGAATTCACAATTTCGTTACTGGAATGATTAACGATAAATTAATGGGCGATCCAATGTATCTCATGAGCACGAAAAAATAAAATGTCTGCAGTCCGTACATGAAATCGCGAATTTAAATCATTGTTTCACTCAATCCCTCGTCATTTCACTCGTCACACACGAATTCTTGAAGATTAATTAACGTAAGGATTGGTAGGTACCGCCCTGGGTACGTAAACGTATTTTCACTGAGAGAAATTGGATTTCGATTTCTAACGTGTGTTGTCATGCATCAATAACACTCTCCCCTATTCGATTTCATAAAAAAGCATGATTTTTGAGACGTTCACTAATTGTTTTTCGTGTTATTTTGATTTCCATGGATTGTAGCTACTCCAGACAGAATCTTTTGTCTGGAACTCCTAAAACCCTGAGTGATGTTATCCCAGGAGCATCTACCAATACTAACACAATGACTAATACAACAACAAGTGGACTTCATATTTCACACCTGTAAGTAATACAAGAGATTATTAATTTTATTATTAATTTTTCTCGAAAACCATTGAATCAACATGGAAAAGTGAAAAAAAAAATTTTGTAGCTAATTAAATTCCCGACAAAAAAGGTATTTCGGTATTTCCTTCTAAAATTAATAGTTTTTAATGAATCGGTGATTACCAAAATGCCGCTATTTTGAATTTCGTTTTCAGTGAAAAAAATTGATTTCTAATTTTTTATAATTGTGAATGATTGGTGATTAATTTTCATTCAATCGTGGAAATAAAGACGGGACAAGAGAAATCGAGAGCATGCAGCCGACAATCTCTCCCTGCCATCCCTTTCTGGCTCAGATGCCCAGTATTCCATGAATCTCCAGATGCAGTCGAATATTCAGGATCGCGAACGCGATATTCCAGCGTCCAGGACGAATATCCTGTCGAATGAGGCTGCACAAATGCAGCAGGTGGAGAATTTCTGGGAGGACGCCCACTCGTCCTTCCGTTTAGTTCCAGAAAGCAACGAGGACATTTATTCTCTTCGACATCTCAACGCAGAAATGCGAGATGTTCTCGTTTCACTCGTTGCTGCTAACAAGAGGAGGCCTGACTACTTGGTGATCATCCTCAGAGAGATCAAGGCCATCAGTGAGGATCAGAGGCTGCGCCCAAGGCTCCTTAGATCCCTCCGGGCCCTCCAGGACATGCAGACTTCCAGCAATCCTTTGGTAATTAAAATATCTCAGAATCTATGCGGTACACAGAAAAATCTACAGGAAATTTTTTTCGGTGTTTTTCGTAAATTCGGAGATATTCTTCGAAAAATTTTTTTTGGGAATTCTTAATTGAAAAATTTGGATTGGCATTCAGAACGAAGTCCCGGATCAAACGGCCAGTGAGAGCTGCCAATCGAGTGATGAAGACTCTGATACAGGAGTAAGGGTTGATAAATTAGCGGTTTTGATGAATTCGAATGCTGAAAACCAGTCTCTCCTACCGGAGATATTCATGCCTATGCAATCGTCGGTGCAGGGGTCACAAGCTATTGCTGCCCCATTCCCTGATAATTTTGATTTTGAGGTAAAATTTTTTTCCAATTTTCAAGAATTATTTCATTTTATTTTTGTGTTTCAATTTTTATCTTCAAACGAATATTTTTTTTATCTTCAATTACATACAAAGTAGTTAGCACGTTCAACCAGTACATAAAATTAAACATAAAAGATGAAATGGAAACGAAATGGAAAATGAAATGAATCTCAATATAATCTCCAGAGTCCACTACAGCTGGAAAACATGAATGCTCTTCCCACAATGTCTTCAATATCCACTGGATACAACGAGGACTTGGCTGAAGCTGATCAATCGCGTCCTGAAGCCTCGAACGAGCAACAGGTACAAATCCCCTGAAAATAAGTGATTTGAAGTGGAAATTTGAATTGAAAAATTCTTTTCTTTTCATTTTCTAGTATTCCTTCGACGAAGTGATGAGTGATGAAGGGGAGGAGATAGATGTAGCCCAGGTGGGCCCTCTCCAAGGGGCTGGAGTAGACCTGGAGCGAGAGTTCCCTGAAGAGGATCCGAACTATGAGGAAGCCTTGGGGGAGGGCTCCATCCTCGACAGAATTCCCACGAGACTTCTCCACCACTAGCAGTACCTCCTCTCCTCTCTACTCCTGTTCTCGCTAGTGAGCCTTAAAATACTTTTTATTCATTTCTTCGTGGTAATACTGTCGTTCCAAGTCTTTGTAACGTTGTTTCTTAAATCATTGGAATAAACTGAAATTTCAAAGATTTTTTAATAATTATGTTAAAGGTAATTTTCGAAATGAGGCAATATTTGTTTCGTAGAAAAGTATATATTTATTATTCAAGCCTTAAATAATTTTAAGGTACAATATTGATATATTCAACGATAAATGCCTTGCAGCACGCAGGTAATTAAAGAAACTTATTCTAATGAACGAGACAATCAGAATTCAGTCTCAATGATACCATTATCAAAATCGAGCTGACGCTGGTGATGATAGACAGAGCAACCGTGGGTCTCCATGAGCATTGTCTCGTACTCATGGCCATAGGTAAATCTGTCCTTTGGTTTCTCATAATTTATTGTTTCGGTGATGAAACGATAATTATGAGGTTTACCTGCCGTCTGTTTGCAGCTATCGCTCGTCAATTTCGAGTGCCAGGTCAGAGCAACTTTCTGGTGAGTTAAATATAGTGATGACGAGTCATCGTGCACCTGTGATGATCTAGGCTCTCGGGAGCATCTGGCATCATGCTCAACGCGGCTGTTACCACCGCCTCTGAAATCAAATCAGCTGTGTTATCACCTCGATCCCCTCTCCTCATTTACTTACTTTTTTTAAAACACTTTTCCCTCCGAATGGAAGCGTTGCAATCATTGATGTTCTAGTTTTGTATTTTTTATTTTATGACGACCCATTGAGCTTTGAAAACTCGGAAAATGCAATCTTTGTATGAAATCTTTTTTTTGAAATTTCGAATTTTCAAATTTCAGCGAATAACTCCTTGATTTTCATGTTCTCCTGATACTTTTTCGAAAATTCCGAATTTTTAAATTGCAGTGAATACCTCCTCGATTTTTTTTTTTGAAATTGAAATTTTATTTTTCCCGAATCCCACTTGATAATCTATCAATCGACTAATTGGTAAATATTCAATTTATTTATTAATATTCTATAGGTTGCGGAATTAAAGTAATGAACACTTCGATTTGTTTTACAACCCTGAAAGTGGTTTTGCTCCCTTGACCACTTCAGGTAGTTAAATGGTGCTCAGGTATGAGCAGTAATAAATATAAATTCGCGCGTTAAATCCTTCGGACAGTCCCCTTTTCCCATTCCCTGTTTCTACGAAAATAAACCCATAAGCCATCCTTCTAGAAACAGTAATTTACAAATTAGGAGAGAAACAGTGAATTGTATAGCCGGGGAATCCCCGGAAACGAACAATGTTTGACTATTGACAGCAATATTTCCAGTTAAATAAAAGATTGAAAGTTGAAGGTCGTTTGTAGTACCTCACCGGCTTGTCGCACGTTCGATTGAATTGAATCAAATTTATACGAATTATAAAAATCATATAACTTCAAGCGAGAAGGGGACATTTCCGACCTGTTGAAAAATTACACGTGAAATTTCCTATGAAAAAATTTGAGATTTTCAACAATTTGCCAATAACTCACAGAATTGAAAATTGAAATAACTTCGAGGCTGAAATTTCAAAAAAAAATCTTAACAGTGCACCCCAGTCGACAAATTAATAATATTACACTTTGGAGTAATTAATTAATTTGATATAATCAGATTCTGACACTATATGAGGGTTTTCTCGCAAGATAAAGGAAAAAATATTTACTATATTATTTTTAAAATATTTTTTTTCATTTTTTTAATTGGGTGAAGGCCTTCCGCGGTTGGCAAGTTGCAAATAAAAATTTCTTTGACATGACCCCTACCTGTTTTGAATCTTTTGCCATTTTCTTCACGCCCAGCGATAACTCGATCCGTCCAATGGCGTTTTCGACTGGTATTTCTGCAAAAACCCATGGCACCAAATCCATCCATGCTCTCCTTCCCGCCATCCACCATCTCTGGAATCACGTAATGGTTATTTCGGCACATGCCCATACCACTACAATTCTCATCAGTGTCCATTTCCATGCCCACGGTATCCGTGTAATAATCCTGATCCTGATATCCCTCCAGTGCATTCCCAGGATTCCGATGTACGTCAACACAAACACCACTGGAATTTTCACCCCGTGGATGATAAATTTTACCCGGACTCTGGGTAAAATCACTGATTGGAGGAACATAACCGTAATATCCATTTGAGGATACACATGACGAATTTATTTTACTAGTGAGAATTGTTCCACTCATTCCTGACATTTTTCCTTGGTGGAATAGTTCTCTGGGATTTTTCTTCTAATATCGTGTTTTCGTTTGTTTTATGGTGTTCTGTTGAGGAACGGGTCTGAACAGGTTTGAGAATTTCAGCGTCTGGTGGTCTGGGGATAATTGTTGTTATCGGGATTTCAGGGATAATTATCAATATGGAGGGGATGATCTTGGGATTTGGGGGATTGTTCTCGTGGCAGTGGTTTGTTTTGGCGTTTTTGTAGGGGTTCTTTGGGGTTTTCTGCGATTTTTTTAGAGACGCGGAACCACGCAACCGGTTTCTCCGATTTGTTTCTCCCGACTGGACGCCGAACGGGGGAGATGCACCTTCGCAGGCCTTCGGGTGTGTCCGCCGATGCACGAGGGGGAGGGACTGCAACTTTGAAAATGGAGGGAATATCCAAAGAGGATTGACTAAAGTAGAGGATCACTTCTGGGGGTTGTAGTGACCCCTGCGGCATCGTAGTACTGCACCCCAAGAGAGGGAGGGCACCACACGCAATGCTGGGGTGAATGCTTTTTGTTTTTTATTGCTTTAACTGAAATTTAGCTGACTGTAGAACGAGACGAAGGGGGAAGCCACATTTTGTTGTATTTTAAATGAAAAAAATTATTCAATGTATTGAATATATACCACTAATGAATTTATATTTCCAAATTAGCGCGTTGTCCTAGCGGTAACGTGCTCGACTGGCACGCCGGCGGCCCGGGTTCAAGCCCGGCATCATTCATTTTTTTTTTTTAAATAATTGCTATTTTTTTTGTTTTTTTATGGCTAATTAATGGAAATATTGTTTAAAAACTAAATATTTGGAAATCGAGAAGATATCCAGTGAAATTGAAAAATTAGCAATTTTTTAAAACAATACTTTTGCAATATATATACCCCTAATGAAATTTTATTATTGTAATAACGCGTTATTCTAGCGGTAACATGCTCGGCTTCCACGTCGACGGCCCGGGTTCGATCCCGCCGTCATTCATTTTTTTTTTTAAATAATGCCAATTTTTTCTTTACATAAGTATTCACTGCAATTGAAAAATTCGAAATTTTTGAAAAAGTATCAGGGGAACATGACAATCGAGGAGCTCTTCACTGAAATTTTCACTGAAGGTGAAAAATTCGAAATTTTTGTCAAAGTATCAGGAGCACATGACAACCGAAGAGCTCTTCACTGAAATTTTCACTGAAGGTGAAAAATTCGAAATTTTTGTCAAAGTATCAGGAGCACATGACAACCGAAGAGCTATTCACTGAAATTTTCACTGAAGGTGAAAAATTCGAAATTTTTGTCAAAGTATCAGGGGCACATGACAATCGAGGAGCTCTTCGCTGAAATTTTCACTGAAGGTGCAAAATTCGAAATTTTTGTAAAAGTATCAGGGGAACATGACAATCAAGGAGCTCTTCACTGAAATTTTCACTGATAGTGAAAAATTCGAAATTTATGTAAAAGTATCAGGGGAACATGACAATCGAGGAGCTATTCAGTTTTTAACTAATATTTCGATTTATTAGCCAGTTACAAAAGTTAAAATTGAAATTATTTAAAAAAAAAAAAGTGAACGACGGCGGGCTTGAACCCCGGCCGTCGGCGTGGTAGCCGAGCACGTTACCGCTAGGATAACGCATTATTGCAATAATAAAATTTCATTAGGAGTATATATATTGCAAAAGTGTTGTTTTAAAAAATTGTTAATTTCTCAATTTCACTGGATATCTTCTCGATTATCAAATATTCAGTTTTTAAACAATATTTCCATTAATTAGCCATAAAAAAACAAAAAAAAAATAGCAATTATTTAAAAAAAAAAAAAATGAATGATGCCGGGCTTGAACCCGGGCTGGCGGCGTGCCAGTCGAGCACGTTACCGCTAGGACAACGCGCACATTTAAAAATATATATTCATTAGTGGTATATATTCAATACATTGAATAATTTATTCCATTGAAATTGCACAAAATGTGACTTTCCCCTTCCGCTCGTTTTACAGTCGACTAAATTTCAGTTAAACAATTAAAAAACAAAAAGCAGAAAATAAAATTCACCCCGTCGACTTGATGAACACCCCAGCATTGCGTGTGGCGCTCTTCCTCTCTTGGGGTGCAATCCTCTTTGGATCCGACGATAAACTTCAATTTTTATTAAAGATTAACCGATGCAAATTAACCTTTCAATTAATGATTTTAAACGACAATTCGTTCTTGGCTAGATTAAAATAATAATTAATTTTATATTGTGAACAATTACATGAATTTCAATTTACCGCGGGTCACGAGTAATTTTTCCCCCGAAAATAACCCGTCATTTTTCACGTAAAGTTCATAAAAAATTGTGTGCGTCTTAGCAAACTTCATTAAACCCCAGGAATTATTATAATTTTTCTCATTACTGGACTCACATGAGTTTTTCCAAACCCTAATAATAATAATAATCGAACCCCAAGACCAGCAATTTATTTATTAAACCAAAATACAACCGAAAGCAAGAAAAATGTCGACTGGAAAGGTTATACAGGTAGTGATACTCCCACGATTTCTGCCTGCACTTGAGATTTAATTATTATAATACAATAATAATATTAACAATGTCCCCAGGACCTTCCGGAGCTGCAAGTATTCAAAACAGTGTTGTATCATTGCCTCTTCATAATTATTTTACCGGTTCTGTCATTCTTCCTGAGTAAAATGTTCATCTTCGATGGTAAGGAAATAATCGTATGAATAATTCAAAGAAATTTTTAGTAATGTTATTGTTTTTTAGGGTTGCTAGGGTTGAATACTGTCCCCAGCAGTATTTATTCCGCGATCGTTGCAGTACTGGTGCTTCATGGTGCCCTGGGGGCATTCATATACAGAGCGTATTTCCAACCTGAAAAAACGCAATCCAAGAAGGACTAGATTATTCCCCCATTCTCTAGTTATCAGATCACAAAATTATTGTTTTTCTGAATTGAGATTTCTTTATGGTGAATTAATAATCCGTTATTCTTGAGGCGAAGAATTTTCTACTCGAAATTCGATCGATTGTATCCCAAAGAGAATCTACTTAATTAACACGCGTATAATTCGATCGATACGAGTGTCATTTATTAATTGATTAATTAATTGAGTAGCGATGAGGTAAAATAGCCCGTCGACTCTTGGCTCCTGAATTAATCTAATTTATTGCTCGATTAGTTTAATAATTTTTGAATGAATAATTAAGAAAGCAGTGCACATTGTTATCTTTTTAATCGCTTAGCAATTCATTTATTTCATCATAAATAATTATAATCATGTTAAGCAATTCCCTAAATTTTGCGTACAAGGAACAATTACTTGGGATGTAAATATTCGTGAACAGAATGAGGGAAATGGCTGTACGAATGATTGAATCAGGTGTTGTATTTTAAGCTCAATGTCTTGTGTATCGAAGAAATATTTTCTATGGACGTGAATAAAAGACATAGTACACTGGTGATTCTCTCTGTCGAATATGTACAATTGTTTTCAGGCTTGGTTTTTATCTATTAGCTGCACATGATTACAACGAAAATCACCGAGAAATTATTCTCAAAACAATGAAAATTTTCCTCAATTTTTTATTAATTACTTCCGGATTTCCAACCATCAGAGTCTGAGAAATTCATTTTATTTCACCATAAATGCACGAGATTTATCACTCGGAATAAACGACGGACGAAAATTTCGAAGAATCATAATCCCCAGGAATATTTCAATTAAACTATCTTCATTTTTATTCTTTAGAATTAAATAAAATTCTCAAGCCATTTGATCCCTCCAGATTCTTCCGAGTAGATCCCAGGGATGAGGTCAAACCCAAGTTATTTCTTCTTTACCCCCTCCATAATAAAAAAGAATGCAATTTTTGGAAGTTACACTGAGCTCGATTTGAGGGAAAACTGCTCGGAAATTTTTAAATCTTTATGAGAGTTAGAAAGCTATTGGTTTTATGAGAGACAATAGAAGATGAAAAAGTGAAAAAATGCTGGCATTCTTCTTTTTTCGTTTTACTACTCCTCGAAACGCCGGAATTTTCATCCAATTGAAAATTTTTATTCATAAAAAAACTTATAAAACTTATTAACTTATTCGAAACTTAAAATTTTCCATGAGAAAAAATGAAAAATTCCTCAATATTAATTGAAATTTCCAAAAAATCCTTAATTTTCAAAAACAGCAAAACCCCGAATTTTTCCTACCAAAATTTCCACAACCGCGAAAACCGGGCTGAATCCCTCAAAAATGACAGACCATCCTGTAAAATCCTTCGAAATCCTCTGGAGATCGCACCCCTCGACGAGATTCCACCAAAAAAAAAAAAAAGATGTAAGTACTCGTCGAACAGATTTATTAACCGCAATAATAGTTTCATGGAAACGTGATATAAATATGTGGATCTACTCGACATCCATGTTATCATCCTTGCTCGGGATATCCTGATTATTCTCATGATTCTTGACATCCTCACTCTTCTCCGTTTTGTCCTCTTTGGGAGGCTCAACCTTGGGCTTTGGTTTATTGATAATTGGATTGACAGTTGTATCGACAGTGTGTTTCACCTGACGAACTTGTGCTAGAGTGATCGAAGGCATCTGGGTGCGAGGAGTTGAGGAGAAGGTGCTGTGTGCCTGCTCGAGCCACTGCCACTTCTCCTTGAAGACATTACCCAGTGTTTTGAGCTCCTCATCAGTGACATGACAGTATTTATCATCCTTGCTATGTTTTATCTGATCGTATCCCTTTTTGGCCAGCTGCAGGGTGGCTGCGAGGTCACTCAAGGCCGCCTGTCTGCCCTCGTACTCATTTTTTATTTCTTTTATGGGCTCACCGTGACTCTTCAACTGGGACAAACGATCCTGGTATACCTGTCTATTGCATTCCTCGCCCTCTTCGTACAGCCAATTCTCAGTGTCATCTAGGGTTCTGCTGAGACGCACTCGGTTCTCCTCGGTTATGTAATTCGCCAGTTGATCCTTGTCGGATATCTTTCCTCGCAGATCGTACACGTACTCCTCAAGGGCATTTCTTGCGTCAATTCGCTCCTTCTCCTGGCGATCTTCAGCTACCATCTTGCATTCTTTTTCCTGGGCAATGTCCAGCTCGTGCTGGGGGAGATTTGACGTCAGTACCTCGATTGGAAGGTCAATCAGGCGCACTGGGGTCTTCTTCTTGCCTTTTCCATCCTCCTTGTCGTCGCCCTGAAAATATTTTCCATTTCAAGCTATCTGGGGCTTCAGGGGGTCTAGGGGCTCAGGGAATGGGGAATTCAAGACTTCCGGTCGTTTGGGATACGTCTGTGGCGTTTTTTTTTCTATTTTTAAGAGAACTAGAAAATTTTCATCAATTTTCTACTCGAATAATAATAATAATTAATAATAAATTGATATGATTTTTTCTCTCTCATCTTTTCAATTTCAAGCGAAAATCATTCAGTTAAAAATTTTTCGTCGATCATTATTATTCTTTGAGTAGAAATATTTTCAGCGAGACATACCATTGGGTGGAATTCTTAAGTTAATTAAAAAAGTGTTGGACTGCCTCAGGAATTGAGGATTTCCATAATTTTTTCGACAGAAAGGGATTTCGTGAAAAACAGACAAAACCACAGACCTATCCCTCAAAAAAAAAGGAAAAAAACTAAAATAGTGATAACTGTGTTACATCGATAAACTATTTTTTCAAACCGAACGACACATCTCGATCTACTTGGACCCATACACATTTATCCAATGAGTCATATTTCAAAAAAGATATTGAGATACATTGAAATAATTTCGCCCACACACTGCGTCACCCTGTACCCCCATTTTTGGAGCGGTTCTGAATATAATTAACTCGAGCCGAGATGTAGGAAAGTGAGAATAAAAACTGAATTGCATCGAGCTCTCAACGACACCGACTGAAAATTATCTCAAAATTTCAACAAATTCTCTCACGAATGTACAACACAAAAAAAAAACCACACTAAAAAAATTATAGAAACTAGTGACAATGCAGTGAGAATCTAAATGGACTTATTACAAATAGCAACTGAAATCAACTCAAAAGAACTGAGGAAAGCCGACCAGAAAAAAAAAACTGATGAACTTGAAGAGTAATTAGGAATGACTTATGGGCAGTTGATCAAGGTATGCCCATGGGTCCAAGGTAAATGTGTCGCGTACCGAGCTGAACCAAGATCGAATCCTGGAGGAATAGGATGGGCCAGAGCCCTTGGAACATCTTCCATCATCCTCAGCGTCTGAGTCTCGTTGGCCCTTATCCACGCGCACCTAAATCACAACAGACTTACATTGCCCTCTCGCGTTTTCCAGATGATTGGACTTCAATGAGTGAATAATCTCGAGTCTCTTGAGGACTACTATCAGTTTTAAATGTTATTATTCAACTGAGGAGCTGCAGTAATTTGTATTCTTGTTCGTTGAAGCTAAAACTCGTTGAGAACTGATGGTAGATATCATTTTTGGGTTTTTGAGGGATATCTATGAAGAAAAGAGAGCTATCGAGATTTTTGTATGGACCTTTTTTGTAGTCCGACCTGAGAGCTACAAAAATGATTCTACAAGAATTTTTATGGCTTTCTTGGATTTTGAGGTATTCTCCAAAAACTTCATTGGAAGGAAAAAACTCATGTATTGTTTCCGAATATTATAAAATCGAAGAAAGTTTAATTTTAAAAATATTTGAAATAATTATTTTTTATCCTTTCACGGTGTTCAAAAAAATTTGTGGAAAAACGCGGGATGTTTTGAATATTTTAATTGAAATGGAAATCAGTGAGAAATGAATCTCTTCACGCTAATAATTAGTTTCCGCGTATTATCGATCCTCACTTCAATAATCTCTGATATTTAAAACTTATGGTCTCCCCTTAAGGACATCCAAGTACTTTTACCATTTTTTTTTATCAATGACTTTCTCTATTCGGAGTTTCAAGCATCAGAAATTTTGCAATTTAATTGTGATTCAAATGATAATTTGAATAAAAAAAAAAATCTCAACTTTTTAGAAGGAATTTAATTGTAATTTTGGGTTGTCGCAATGACTTGAACTTTAAAAAATTCAACGTGTAAAAAAATGATATAGTTTGTAAAAAAAAATTCGCTCCACCGCAAATCGATTGATAGATTCAATTATTAAATGATTCTATTATTCCATAATTACTAGCTAGTAAGAGGACCTTGGATATCCCCAATTGATGAGTTTAATGAGTTAGGAGAGTGAAGGAAATTGATTCCTCTGACTATTCAATAAATCATTCAACCGTTCGATTGGATTGATGAACACTCGCAAGTCTGCGATGATTTGATGGGGACGCGCGTGGACATTACACTGTTAAAAAAAAATGGCTGAATTTCCACGAAAATGATTAATCTCCCCAAATTGAGAAAAATTGACAAACCCCAAATTTTCCCAAAAATTCTCTTCCCAATTCCTCAGCAATTCCAACTCCATAAACTTTTTATCTATATCTCAGAAATAATAAATAATAAAAAAAAGAAAACGAATGGCAAAATTCTCTGGAATATCAGTGGAACTGTAAAATATTTCAAATCCAAAACCTGTGAAAAAAATATTATTTAATAATGAATGAGAAATAATAAAAATAATGATGATGAATACATGGACCATAAAATGATGAAACTGAAATATCAGTGGAACTTTCACTTTGAGAAATTTTCATAATTAAGTCAGAGGGCAAATTCAGTCAACATTTTTTAACAGTGTATTATGCATTTATTTAATTAATGAAATTACCTCTTGGGCCGGTGGCTCCTTAGCCTGGGCAGCCTGGTCGGACTTGTCCTGCTCTGCTTCCATGTTGTTCGCCTGTTGTTTCTCCTCTTCCTCGATCTCCTGTTCAGTCAATTCACGTTTTTCCACTAGAACAGCTGATGTCACCGTGAAGATCCCATTCAGGTTGAGTCTCACCTTGATCTTCACTTTCGAGGGCTCACCCTCAGGCGTGGGCTTGATATTTTTCACTTGCCAAATGCCTGAAATCATCAATAATTTTTTTATAAAATAAATTATCGAAAAATTTATGAGTTGTGAGGAGAAACGTCAGAGAACTTTTTTACAGACTTTACAATCCATCGATTTTTCACCCAGAAAAAATATTGAAAAATCATGTCAAGTCAGTGAATATTTTTTTATATATACCTATATGTGCTGTCGGATAATTTGGTGGCTGAGAGGCGTAAGTGGCAATCAGAGAGACTGGATTTATTCTCTTGAGAGTGAGAGACTTTGAGAATGGGAATACATGGTTGTAAGAAAATACTTCGAGTTCCCTAAAACGAGAATAGAAAAAAAAAATGAGAGATTAAACTCAATAGCAAAGAGATGATTTCACTGAAAAATAATTACGTACTCATCCTCGCCCTCTGGGGGGTCGAATTTAATTTTCACTGGATAAGGCTGAATGTCAGTGACAGCAAACTCACGAACTCTGATAGCTGGACTCAACATGGCACACTGCAAAGCACATCCTCGTGCCACTGCCTCGTCCTGATTCAGAGTTGTGGACGCTGTTTTCCCAAACACTTCCTCCACGAGCCTTTTGATCGCTGGAATTCTGCTGGAGCCCCCAGCAATCTCCACTGAGTGGATTTCCTCGAGTTTGAGGCCTGGAAAAATTTAAACAAAATTGAAATATATTTTCTAATTATATCAATAAATATAGTTATGCTCACTATCTCCTGACGTTAATGAATTGAATTTTAATTGACATCGACGACTAGGGGACAGCAGTAATTACTCAAAAGATTATTTAATTTCAAGGGAATTATTTTATTGCCTTCTTTTTTTTACGAAAACTCACCAGAATCTCGAAGGCACTTCTTCATCGTCGCCTCGACACGGCTAAAGAGGTGCTGGCACATGCCCTCCATGTCTTCTCGTTTCATATCCCCATGAACATCCTTCTCCTCCATAAAACACTCGATGTTGAGAGGTAGTTTCGTTGAATTAGCTGACATTTGCTTCTTGATTTTCTCAACTTCAGCGAGAAGTCGTAGATAGGCACGAGCATTTGAATGGGCATCAATCTTGTAGCGGGCCTGGAAATCCTTGCAGAATTGATTTGCAAGAATCGTGTCAATGTCTCGACCACCTAAATTAGGATCTGCAGTACTCGCCAACATCTGGATCAATTAATCAACAATTATCTCCTCGAAATTCACTCTATTCAAATTATCTCCACAACGACTGGTCTGGGAATAAAACGCGATTACACTTTTTTCCTGGAAATTTTCCACTCTTCAAAAAAGCACATACACCCCACAGCTCTAAATCCCCTCATTACCGAGATAATTACGCAAACCGAATTCAGAAAAACAAATCCTATTCTTTCTCTCTTCGATGATTCAATTTATTTCCTAATTATCTCCCTAATTAGTGGCCTGACGAAAAAAAATTATTTTTCATTTTTTGCAGAGAGTTATCTCGTCTTCAAAAAAGTCTGATAACTTTTTCCCATTAAGTCCTGAATTTTCGATATTTGGCGGATTAACGAGATGTAATAATCACATCGTTGGACGAACCTTGAGTTTTCCTTTATGAAAAGCGGCAATGCTGACTTGAAGGCTAGCGTAACCACAATCAACAAACACTACATTACGCGGTGGTGCTTCCGGTGCAGGTAAATCCTGTTTGTAAATGCCATAGCACAGGGCGGTGGCAGCCGTTTCGTTGAACAGACGCAATACATTTAGGCCAGCAATTCTTGCAGCATCGAAGAGAGCTAGACGCTCAGACTGTGTGAAGTACGAGGGCACAGAAATCACACAGTCATTGACAGCCGTCTGCAATGCTGTCTCCGATATTTCTTTCAGTTTAGTGAAGAGCATCGCTGTTATCTGTTCTGGGGTGAATATGTGCTCTTCACCTAGATATTGTACCTGAAATTTATATAAATTTCCTACATTCTCTCATAAAAATCCACTTATTATTCCATTTTCTCCATTGTAATGTAATTTAATCTTTAAATTCATTCTCCTATTTGTTGGAGAGTTTAAAATTTCTCACAGATAAAATTTAATTAATTTGAAATAATTAGAGAAATCATTTGAATAAATTCATTCGTGAAAAGCTAAAGGGAATATTTGGAAATCTCGAGGAAATTTCTCATTCGTTACTGGTTGAAAAATTGGAATGGAATTATCCATTATCTATTTTAATTGTCTCACATGTATGCCAATAGTCCCATCTGGTTGTGCTGTTACTTTGTACGGCAGAGAACGCAACTCCTTCTGGACCTGCGGATCATTGTACTTTCTACCGAGTAATCTCTTAAATCCAAAAACTGTGTTCTTCATATTTGTCACCATCTGATTCTTGGCGGCAACTCCCAGAATACGATTTTTTCCGCTGAATGCAACGCATGATCTGCAATTTCATGAAAAAATACTTGACTTGATGGTGGAAAACGTGGAGACACTTGCGGAAAAGCGTTTTTAACTCATTCCATCATCTCATGTCATTTTTTTTCGCCAGAAAATGTTGAAGACAGTCTAAAAATATCCCAGTATTTTTTGCGAATTAAATTTTTCAATTATCCTGTTGTTTTCTTACTTTCCAAAATATTTAAACATTCCAAAAAAATAGGTTTTATGATCGATTATTTCCCCTCGTCTCCCAGTTGTCCTTCTCTCCACTAATAAAAATTAAACTCCAGTTAAATGTGGATTTATCTCAAGAACTACTGATTTAAAAAAAAAATGTGATAAGACATTTTTCGTGGAGAATTCTCTCCTCTATAAAAAGTTTCAGTAACTTTTTCTTGTGAAACCACAATGGCTGTCTAGGTCTTTTACATAAATTTGAGTCATTTGTTGATTGATGTTAAAGACGATGGATTTTTTTTTGGCGGTTGGAATTACATTGCTGGAGGTGGGGGTGGGTTGTTGGTGATTATACACGTGGAGTGAACGAAAAGGTCAGTGTATCGATGGAAGAGATCGCAATGAATCACAGGTTTATCCGAATAAGGTGAAAAACCAAATGGAATTATCATATTGGAGGAGCAACATCGGAATATTCAGCCCACAATCGCGCATTATCGTTGCCCGAGAAGGTCTGGAAGCCTCACATTATGTCCAATCTAACCTGCCATGGTGACAAATTATCAAGATGATCGGCTGATACGACGTAAAAAATCGATTTTCACTCGGAACGAAACAGGACATTTTCTCGCTAACGAATACTCCCACGAGAAATTTATAATGACCTTTTTTGTTGTGAATTTCCTCCTCCACGAAAAAGTTAAATAAAATTTTTCCGTAAACCCCCGAATTTCTGATATCAACTTCTCCCAAAAAATCCCAATTCATCTCCCCACATTTTCGCAATGTCCACGTGTTCCCAAACCCGGGATTATCTCAAGAACAATGGCCCTGAGAAAAAAACATCTCGACGATTTTTTGTAGATAATTTCTCAACCAACAAAAAAGTCTCATAAAATTTTTCCGTAAAATCCGAAATTCTCATCGTAAATTCTCCAGAACAGAAACCACATCGTCAAATTTTTTCCATCCCCACGTGTCTTAAACCGCGAGTTATCTCGCAAACGACTCCACCAACAAAGAAAGACATCAGGTCTTTTTTATCGAGAATTCCTAGACCTACAAAAAAGGTCAAACAAACTTTTCTGTAAAACCCCTCACCCCGGAGGAAATCCGGTAATCATGAGACAGCGGCAAGGTCTGGATGTTTCCAGAAATCAATGGTTAGGCCCCGCGAGTTTCTCTTCTCAAGACAATAATTTTAATACCAACGACTCTAAAACCATTCAATGGAATAATTAACGGTTTCCTTCAATTAACAATTACGAATGGTTATTGAACAATGAAAGTGTTGGGTAAAATGCGAAAAAATGTCGCGGCGTTGGGAGGCCGGCGCCGGCTTTAGTCTGAATGAAATTCGTATAATTAAAATAAATGACTTACGGTGTACCCCGTAAACTATAATCATTGGCAATGGTTTCAATGCCACCAGCCCTCGCAACAGCCACATAGCAACTCTCGTTGCCAAAGTCAATTCCAATGACGGACATAGCAGCCATTTCTGTTCCTCAGCCCCAGAAACACGAGTCACCAACAATTATTCCAGCAAACAATATTTTTACGTCCCCCAATCACTGATCACACAAGATTTTATCAGAATCGATGTCTCTCCACTCGATATACGTCGATTGTTTATCAATTTATACCGTACAATGTTTATTCAAAGAGAATAAATAGTTGACAATGTCCAGAGACTGGAAGTTTTGTGGATGAGTTAGCATGGATTTCTGGTAAACGATTGCTTGCTATTGCTCGATTGCCCCTCGGAAGTTTCCGTTGTGTTGACTGACGTTGGAATATTCCTGGCCAATCAGGTGTCTGCGTGCGCAGCCAGTCCCTCGCGTCTCATTGGACGGAAAAGACCGGGAGAATCCGAGAATATTCTAGAAGTTTGTGAATCGATGATTCTAGAAGGGCTTTTTCAGTCTGGCATTTCAACAACTTGTCACCGTGGAGATGATCAATAGATTACTTCAATCATACGCTCGCCATACATTTGCCATTTTTTTTCTACAATTTTTTTTACGATTAAGGATCTCAGAATTGTTGATCGCTCTCAAGAGATCTACAGAAAAAAAAGACAGAGAATTATTATATATTTTTTGTTTATATGGATATACTTAAAAAATCCGTCAGATATGATTTTTTGTTTGTTACATGTCTTATCTCTCTCACCTTTGTCAATTTAATAAATTTATTGTTATTAAATATCCGCGTGCATTTCAATATCTAGAACAACCCTTTATTCAATGAAGAAATTGAAGAAGAAATAAAAATTCGTGAGGCATTGAATCCATGAAATACAAAATACATGAAAAATGAGAATATCGGTAATAATTGCATGAATAATTAGAAAACGTAAAAACATTTGTAAAAAGGAAGTAGAAATTTCTTCTTTGCATGGTACACTCGTTGCCATGGACAACAGCGTCTAGCTCATGACTGGCTGCAGCTGCAGTGTGCCTGCAAGGTTGGAATGGGATGGAGTTTCTCGTGTGTGTGATGTGGAACACGTACCTATGACGAAATTCCCCTCGGAAATGTCAGCTGAGCGCACACGTTTCGTTATTTTCTGAATGAAGTGAGGAATGTCACGACTTTACGCCTCAGCCCTGCGGTCTTTTGGCTCCAGGAGTCCAAGTGCCATCCTCAGGAGATTCATCATTCGAGACGTCGAGAGGAATTCCCTCTGGAATTCAGGGAGAGGTTATGAGGCATCCAGTGTTTTTCTCAGGCAGTTCAATTCACCTGATGACATCCACAGGGAAAATTATGCTTTGACAGCTGTCCAGAAGGGGCATCATCACAGGGGCAATCGGAGAAATTGGAGGGATCAGGGATTCTGGAGTTTCAGGTTTTTACTTGGTGGAATTGGACTGACCATCGCACTTTGTGATGCTCCCTATTTCACCAAAGGTCAGGGTAATTTCTATTTATTAATTATTTTTTACCTGATTTTACTGCTTGTTAAAAATAAATTGGTTTTTATTGTTTTGTCTTCTTACATCGATTTATTTGAAAAAGTATTGATTTTAGGAGGAAATATCAAAAGACCTTTTTTCGAGGAAATTTGATTTCTCAGAAAAAAGTCCTCTGGTATTTTCAGTTTAAATCGATAGTTTTCGGGATAATGTCGATGACATGAATATCGAAGTGGTAGGGTTGCTAAATTATTTTTTTGATTTTTAATTAGAAAAAAGATTCTTCAGAGCAGCTCAATACGGAAATATCCCTGACCTGAAGAAGGTAATGTTTAGAATTTCAGGTAATTTTCCCCAATTTCCATTGATGATTTTTCGTCAATTCGTTTCGTTTGTGGCAGTCAATATCTGAAGGAATTGATCCGGACTCCAGGCATCCCCTGGGATGGACAGCTCTGCATTCCGCTGCGATAAATGGAAAGACAGAGGCTTTAAAATTTTTGATAACTAGTGGGGCTGACGTCAATGCTGGAGACGAATTCGTCAATGTTTATAAAACAGCAATTGAGAAAGGATTGCATTCCCTTGATGGTAAGAACGATTAAATATTTTTTTTTTATAAAAAAAAACGGGGAATTGCCCTTTCGTTACATATAGTATAATTATTTTTTCAAATAAATTAGCAAATTAGTAATGCAATTGTCTATTCCTTGAATTCCGATTTCCCCTTCGTCTATCATTGATTTTCTCATCAAAATGAAAATAAAAAATGAATCAGATAAACTCTAGACATCTTAATTATCCAAATGATTATTTCAGTTCTGACAAAACGTGAGGAAGAGTTCTCGGATCGCCTGAACAACCGAGCGACCTTCAAAGGCTTTACCGCCCTGCATTACGCCGTCCTGGCGGATTCGTTATCCTGCGTGAAGATCCTCTTAGAGGCTGGAGCAAATCCCACAATCGAGAATGACACGGGTCACCGAGCAGTGGAATACGCACGAGACGACGAGATAAAGGATCTGTTGACAAAACAATCACACAAATACGATGAACTCATGAAGGAGAAAGAGGCAGAGGAACGTCGGAGGTTTCCCCTGGAGAAGAGGCTGAAGGAGCATATCGTGGGCCAGGAGGGACCCATATCTGTGGTTGCCTCGACAATCAGGAGAAAGGAGAATGGATGGATCGACGAGGAACATCCACTCGTCTTCCTCTTTCTGGGGTCTTCTGGCATTGGAAAAACAGAACTGGCCAAGCAATTAGCTGCCTATATCCATAAAAACAAACCCGATGGCTTCATTCGCCTCGACATGTCTGAGTATCAGGAGAAGCACGAGGTGGCGAAGCTCATTGGAGCTCCTCCTGGGTAATTAATAATTAATAATTAATAATTAATAATTAATAATAATTAATAATCTCTGGAGTGATTTTGACCGGTTCTTTGGGATTTTTTTTTTTACGCAGATGATTGGCTCCAGGAATTTATCTTAATTTCTATTTTTACCTAGTTATGTAGGGCATGATGATGGTGGACAGTTGACGAAGCTCTTGAAGAAGAAGCCCAATGCCGTGGTGCTGTTTGACGAAGTCGACAAGGCACACCCTGACGTCCTCACTGTTCTCCTCCAATTATTCGACGAGGTATTGTTAATATTTAATTAATGCTTGTTAAATAGCTTTTTGACACTCTCTTAACTCCAGGGGAGGCTGACTGATGGCAAAGGTAAGACGATCGAGTGCAAGAATGCCATTTTCATAATGACATCGAATCTAGCCAGTGAAGAAATAGCAGAGCACGCCATTCAACTGAGAGCTGAGGCTGAACGTCTGCTGAATCAGAGGCTCGATAAGAGTGAGAGTGAGGACCAAACACCGGAGCAAATCGTCATATCGAGAAATTTCAAAGACGAAGTTGTGCGTCCTATTCTGAAAGCTCATTTTCGTCGGGATGAATTCCTGGGGCGTATCAATGAGATTGTTTACTTTCTACCGTTTTCTCGGGCTGAATTGATAAAACTTGTTGCACGAGAATTGGATGCATGGGCGAAGAGGGCTCGGGAGAGACACATGATCGAATTAAGGTGGGATAGAGAGGTACTCTCAGCACTTGCCGATGGGTATGATGTTCATTACGGTGCACGATCCATTAAGTACGAAGTCGAGAGGAGAGTTGTCAATCAACTGGCGGCTGCACATGAACGGGGACAGATCAGTAAGCAATTTAATCATTTTTTCATTATATCTCCAGTAATTTTTCAACATAAATTATAAATTATAAATTATTTAGATATTATTTTTATTATCTATCATTCAAAATTTTCTTCATATTTTATTGGTTTATTGTGAGAAATTGAATTGGATTCGTTATTTTTTTTTTTGTTGTTTTTTTTTTTCAGCGAAAAAGTGTTGTGTGAAATTAAAAGCAAAATGGCAAGAGAGTGGAGTCTCGATAGGACTCTCTGTGCGTCCAGCTGGAGTCAAGGATTTCGTGGACATCGATGAGACAGACAATGTCATAAAAAACGTAAATTCTAAATTTGAATTCTGAATGAATTGGACTCGATGCGAATAAATGTGTAAAAAATCTCCGAACGCTTGACTTTTTCTCAATGATAATTCAGGGACTAGAAATAGATTATGTTTGAACAGGTTGTATTGAACATTAGATAATTTTTAATGTTGAGACCATCGAGGTACGAGTATTTGATGTAAATATGATGATTATCCTTTATTTTGAATAAATCGATCAATATAGAATACATAACATGAAAATATTTGGTTCCACATCACATTTAAGATACAGTATAAGTTTCAAGACGAATTTGGAACAACCATGGATTATTTAATAATTTTTTTTAGGTTTACGGCAAGTATATTTCACCAATAAAAATTCAGGAAATGTCACACACAAACAGGAAAAAAATTCCTGATTGGTAAAACATCGGTATTTTCATTCAGTGGATTTTTTAATTAAATCATTGCCGTTGAGGTATTTCTTTTTGTAATTACAGTATCAAGAATAGAACATCACGAAACGTTATGCAGTACAGGAGAGAACACAGATATATCAGTTTTCATCAACGTGATTGTTATCAATTTAAAAATATTATTTGCGTTTAATTATTTGATTTCTGCTTGAATTATGGAAAAATTTTATGTATTGAAATTATCCCAAATTGGCAAGTCAAGAGCATTTTGCTGATTGTTTATTCCTCACGACAAGTATCATTATGTTTTCATGATTTAATGAATATTTCAATAACAAAGTGGCATACTAATTAAAAAAACCCCTGTCATAACGAGAATTTCATGGATTCAAGACAATTCATGAATTAATTTTTTACTTCGAAAATTTTCAAGTCAAATCTTCAGATAAATAATTTCGGTATCACATAGAAAGAATAATTATCAATCCAGAAATTTCACGATTATTTGTTAATCAATAAATCCGTAATTCGTTAGGGGAGAGTTAACGTTTTTTCTCCCGTACAAAAAAAAATTCATACCAAAATAATAAGCGAAATAATGAAAATGGTAGAGTCAATTCGTTCTAGTTTGCCACTTGGCTAATGAATTAATTAGTCCTTTCGCCTCTGTGCTTGATAAATTCAATTACTCCTTTAATATAAATATCTAGGTTGATATTTCATATAAGTATATTTTTATTAATTCATTTTCATAGAGCTATATATAGAAATACTGTAGGTGTATAATAGGATAAGCGTACGATTCGGACCATGCTCTTATGGCTGAGCGTTATTTTCACTCCTCAAAAGTATATATTTTGTGATATATTCATGTTATGGTTAATAACAATAGTTATATTATCTCCATAGAACTATATATTTTTTTCAACAACAATTTTGAAAAAGACTCCATTTGTTTATTTTATATATTTTTCAATTTTAATATTATCGTTCGAGTTAAATTTTCAATGACTCTTCATCACAAATTTTTATCGGATTATTATCAGGTGGGAGGGGCTAATTAGGTGACGAAAATTCACTGAACTGTTAGATTTACTTTTATCCGAGGGAAAACGTGGAAATCAGGGAAAAATCGAACTATTGGAAATAGAATTTAATTGAAAAAGCGTCATTATTGATATGTCGTGTCGAATATTGGTCGAAAAGTACATTGCTGTGGTATACGTTCAATTTTAATTATTTTGCAAATTAAATTACGTTCATTATCCATTAATGGATTTTGGTGCAATTTAAGATGCGATTTGGAATTTGTAGAATTTTTTGGAAAATCACGGTGAATTTCAATCGAAGGGAAAATTTATGAAGCTTCGAGTTTTAGAAAATTGGAGGACAATTGCCATTTTCTCAGAGGAAAAAGGGGAATTTCAGGAAAATTGCATATTTCCCTCAATTTCCGTTAGATTTACTATTTCCATGCATTTTTCCAAGAAATATATGAATTTTCAATGGCAAAATTCCCTGAAATTTCAGCCTAACTTTCGCTTTTTTATATTTCCAACTGTGGAAAATTCAGTAAAAATTTTAACAGTGTATTGGATTGAAACTATTCGAGAGGATGACTCAATGGAAAAAAAAAGTATATCAGACGTCAATACCGTAATGGAATTATACAATTCCCTGAATAATAAACAATGTCAACCGTATTTTTTTTGTTTGTAAAACCCTAGCACTTGACTTTCATTTCGATTTCATAACAGTATAATTCCGTCAGGGTAAAATACTTTGTGCATTTTTGCGTTGCCTTGCTCGATCGATTGTGAAAATTGTTATTATCATTACGAATAAGCGGGACCTTTAGGCCTTTTGATTATTCATTATTCCCTTGATAAATAAATTTTCCGTTGTTCTCTCATCATCATTTGTATTATCTTGCCATGTTTGAGCGGTTTATTCTCTCCTCATCCATGACATATTGTACTGGCTCATTTTATTTATTTTAAACTGTAATTGCACGGTTTTCTATGCACTAAATACATCACTCCATTCCCTCTAAAAAAATCCTCAAAATTTCATAGTCATTTCACAGTTCTCTCACAAATTGTCGATCGGATTGAGCGGAATAAATATACCATTTTTGTATTCTATCATTATTTCATGACTCACCAAGTTTTATCAGCGTGCAATAATTTTCTTGTATTTTTTCTGATGTTTAATTCATTTTTGAAAAGTTTAAAAAAAACGCAAGAAAATTATTACAAATAATCCTAAACTACGAAAAAGATATATTTTTCGGCAATTTTATAGCGGCATATCGGGAATGACTCCTCAAAATTTTGAGATGATTTTGAAATTGATTCGTAAAATATTTGAGGACAAGGAGCGAATAATTCAGAGCATAAACCCGATTCTAATGTGGATACATTGGGTTGTGAAGTGGTGGATAAGACATCATGATTTTTCCAAATGATTAATCATCCCCTTCCCATAATGACCCGAGGAAAAAAAATCGTTATGAAGCCGAGGAGTCAATCACCGGAGAATAAAATTCTTCTGTTGTACTTTACCACTTGACAAACTCGCGATTCAAAGATTGATTCAATGCAACGTGTGCCACATCGCTATACCTTTCCTCGGTGATTGTGTGATCTTCGTCCAGTGCTCACGACTGGGATTCATTTCCGCATTTCCACCGGATGAATTTCCATCTATCGCTGGACCAACGATGCAAGAACCCACGATTGCATTTCCACCGATTAATTCACTGCTGGCATCTAGCACGCACACCTGATTTTCAAATCCACAATTCATTTAAAATTGAGAATGATTCACCGGATAAAGTAGAATGGGGGTAAAATGGGATGAATGAGAAGATTCAATGGGAGACGAGGGGAGAAAATTGTTTTATGGTAATCGAAATGTGAAATTGAGTGAATTACCTCAATTGCAGAGGAAGCGAGGGCACTTGCAGGAATGTTGAAGGACATGGCTTCATTCCACACTGGAGACTTTGTTGCCTTCTTCACCTCAGTCTTTTTCTTCTTGACTCGTCTGTCTCCAGACAGAAGACTGACCTTGACGAATGGATCCAGAGTGTCTTTATCCTGTTGGAAATTTCAAAATATCCAGGAAGTCCAGAATAAATTCAGTAGCTAAAAGGTAAACTAGTATAAATGAATTTTTGGACTCCAGTTACCTGAGGGGAGAAGAGGTTTCTCGCCTTGAGGATGAGGACTGTCAGCCTCTCAGCACTTGGCAAGTACGACAAGGACAGCAAGACTTCCTGAATCTCCTCCGGTGGTTTTTTCTCACCCGCAATCTCACCCCAGATCTCGATGGACGAGCTCGAAGAGTCCAGCTCTAGCTCCTCCATCGCTATTCTCACCGAACCCACCACATCGTTCCTCGAGTAGCGATCGTAATCGAAGACCTGGATTGATTGATTAATTTCGTAACAGCCAGAAAAAGGAAATAAAAGTCAAGAGAAAAATCACGGAAAATAAATTAAAAATTATTTATTATTATAATAAATTTGCTTTGGTTAATGAATTATTGATGAGTGAAGGAGCTAATGAGAGAACCAGTGAATCCTTGCCTGAAGCACCAATGTTTTGTCCTGAAGATCATCATGACTAACAGGAAACTTGAAATGCTGATCGAACAACGGATTGGGCTCGTTCCTGTGAATAGGAGTCTGTCTCTTCTTGTTGTCGATTTCAGGGCTGAGGGTGAGCTTGACGAAGGGGTCGTTAAATCCCCCCTGATCAGTCCCAGCAAGATCATGCGCCTCAATCAGATGAACGTGAAGATCCGATCTGTCGAAGTCGTATTTCAGGCGCATATGGAGCCTTCCGAGGCTCTTCCCAGTTCTGAAGGAAATTTAAGCAATTCACCCAAATGAACAGAAATTTTCCAAAACAAAAAAATTATCAAAATATGTAAAAAATTGTTCCACTCTTTCCCCTGAAAAAAAAATTTCGAGATAAATGGAAAATCGAGAAAATTACCCAAACCCCCTCTGACTAAATATAATTATTTCCATTTCAACAATTATTTCAATAATCATTATTTCAATTAGAGATCATAGACAGTATTAATTGGCAAGTACGGAATGATAATCAGGGATAATTAGGGCTGTAGATATTGAAGATGAAAGTATGAGCTAATTGGGTACCCGGGGAAAAGAGGAAGGGAAAAAAATCCAGTGAATTTGCCTCGATAAATTTTATCAGGCAAATGGAATGGAGGATAAATGCGGAAGCGGGTATCAGGGAATAATGTCTCTGGTGAAAATTTTAACGAGTACTAACGTTTGATCAGTCCTCCGTGCACTGAGGAATAATGGACCATCACGACGCTGATATAGGTCTGGCTGCAGGGACCCCAAGGGCGATGCTGGAGGCGCTGGTCCTCCATCACTTTATCGCGGAAACGACAAATGTGAATTCATATCAATAATTTTTAATCATGAATGTTCATAACTGTGGATTTAGAGGCTCTTCCCCCGTGATTCCATCAAATCCTTCGATTTATCGTAATTCCACCCGCAAGACCATGAAAATCCGCTTAAAAAATTCCGGGAAATCCCAAGGAATTGAATATTTAATAATATTAATAATCCTGCAATATTGCAATACTGCTTCCACTATTATTGTTTGTGATGAAATTTTTTTGAAATTGTTGTCTCAATAATTTTTTGAAATAATTGAAATTTCCCATTCAGAATTCATAAAGCGATTTTCACGGAAAATTCCTGTACACGATAAATCTGGGGTAAATAATTCCCTGGAAATCAACAGCAACCCATTTTGATCTCTTTACGTATTTATAACTGGCTTTGTGAGAAATGAAAGGATTTGAAAGGCGGAACGGCCCCTGAACACCGCGAATTTTCCCCTGAAAAATTTCTCGTGTAATGAAGGGTGTTCTACACACATACAGCCAACATGAACATTTTTTTTTATCGTACCTCTGTTTTTATCGGGATCTCTCATTAAAGTCTGATAGAAATTAATGAATTATTTAAATGATAGCACCAAAATTTCGTGAGCCGTTAAATAATGACAACCGGTAAAAACGTCGATTTTTTTCACACAATTCCATCGGTAAATTCCAAAAAAAAAAATGGACAAGTGAATTTTGTCTGTATATTTGGGTGTGGAACGTTAACGAGTGGCGTAATTACTGTACTCACCTGAGACAGGCTCTGGGTGGTGGGATGAGAAGTGGCGAGAGACATCGACTTGCTGACTTAGCAGGTCCAATGGTAGACGTAACACAAGATGAACTCCCAACAGTTGCCAGAGATGATAATGAACTTTGCGACGGTGATGCAGTACTGTGACCACTACCAGAGCAGCTAGCAGGACTGCTGCATCTAGCATCGAGAGATGAAGCACGTGCTGGGGATGGGGATCTATAAATATTCAATGAATATTCAGTGCCACTGCCACTGTGTACTCCTATCAAATATTGATTCCCTCTAATGACTCCAGAGAGTCATGAGAATAAAGAGTAATTGTCCTGAGGTATGAACCACCAGGTGAATTCCTTCAGCAATGAAAAAAAAATAATAATTCCATTTTCTTTGACGATCTCCAGGGAGAGGAAGACTGAAGACATGTAGACATGTGTACTTTCGTCAATTGAATAATTTATTTGAGTAATTTATCCACTTGGGGATTACCTGGAGCTTCTGTTTGGGGGATAGGAAGATGCTGCGTGCAGGGGATCGTGATGGTGATGACGACCATCTGGACCAAATGCTCGAATTTGGGGTGACGAGCCTCGGTGGCCTGATGATCCTGAGGCACCTTCCAGGGAACTCTGAGAACTTATCGATGGATTTCGAGCTAAAACTCTACCTCCTGGACCCTGCACTTGAGCTCCTGAACTGCAGGGGTAGCTCCGGCTTTGGTGGGGCAGTCCACCTGGAAGTGTCCATTGGACATCGGTCTCTACAGTTTTATTTTTTTGTCATTGCATTTGTAATATTTGGGAGGATGGGAAAATGAGATGGTGACGACGATGAGTTCGTGGGGATTGTCGGCATCTCTCATTAAAGTCTCTCTATTGAAATTAATGGATTATTTACCGTCAGAGGCTGAGGACGATGAGGATGGCTGGATGGCATGGTGCTCCTTGGCAACGTTGAACTCCTGGAAATTAAAAAATTCATTATTAACGGACTGCTGTAATTCCCTCGGATATGCATATGCAGTCTCTGATGTAATTGAGATAATTGAGATTGCAGAATTGCGTCTGAAAATTTCAAATTGGCGAGGCAGAAAGAACTTGTGAGTAATTTTTCATGGATAATTCAAATAAAAATGACGAACGCCGCGAAAAAATTGCCAGGCTTAAAATAAAAATTGCCTTTTCAACCTTTTTCTAAAATTCACAAAACTGTACCGAAAATTTATAAAAATAGACAAGAGAAAATTTTTTTCCGATTATCGGTTTTTATTAATTGCACGGGTAATGAACCACGATTTTTAAAATGTCCGATAAATCGATGATCGACGCATCTCGATAATGACTTTAATGCAATCGTCTCGTCGGGCAATTAATTTCAGTTGAAAGCTTCTCCCTCTGGGATCAATAAAAAAGGGGATTCCCTCTTCCCATCCATTCGACTACTTCAAGTTCGTAAAATACTATCGATCCGGGTGAAAGCCGGGGAAAAAGAAAACCTTCGAGACCATTTCCTACATTTCATCCAACTCCACTTTCACCCCTCAACGTCCGTCGAAGAGAAAATTCATTTAATAAAAAATCATTTTCCCGCCAATTTACGATTTTCGTAAAACAGTAAAAACGATTTATCAGGAGATTCCGCGATTTAAAAAACGACTGGAAGACATTTTCTCGTATCAAATAAATCTTCTCTACTTGAATCAGAGAAAGGTATGAAAATTATTTATCACGCCTCTCCGGGGAAATCCACAACAAAAAAAACCAAGTGGGAAAATTTATTTATTTTATTTATGTGGAGCACTCTTCAATATGTATGAGTGCTGCATCAGTAATTTTAGATTTGAATAAAAACGATGGCATTGGACATCAGTTGATTCCTGAATATTTCCCACAGACGAGGGGAAATATTCTCGAGGTTGAATATGATTTTTCCAGTTCCAAATTCATCAAGTCATTTTATTTTCTCTCCATACCAATCAATCATTTCAATCGGTTTTTCCGAATCGTTTAATCGTCGATTAAATGACTGGAACTGGTTTCTCAAAAATTGTTAAAAAAATGGAGAAATAAAAATCGGTAATAACTTTTTATAATCCAATGATTGCTCGCCATTAAAATTCACTGAGCTGGATAAAGATTCGCTTGGAATGGATATATCTTCCTGAGGTTACTACCTCCAATATAACTTTTCATAACTTCAGATTAACTCGACTCATGGTGAAAATTCAAAATGGAACAACTGCTATTCCGTAATCTCACAACTGAGTAGCTCAGGGTTATCATATCACAAGTTTGTGGATTACTAGCCACAAAGTTTTCGAGTTACTGCATGTCAAATCGAAACTTCCAAACCGACAGTTGCTTTTCGATATTTTATTATCATTATAAAATTTATAACATGCAATCGTCATTAAAAAATTTTTTAAATAACACTCGATACTTCAATTCAATACAAATTATTCTTAAATTTCCGGAAAAATGAAATATCGAGAAAATAACTTGAATCATCAATTAAATAATTAAATAATGAATTAAAAATGGAGAAAATTATTATTCCAATTGTTTATCAACTTCATGCTTCATTAATTTTCCAGCAAAAAAACAGAGAACACCAAGTCGATTAGGTCTGCAGGTTTTCGAGGAATATCTTTTGATCTGAGAGAGATATCAACATTTTGCTCTAGACTTTTTTTCTAGACCAAAACGCGGGTTACAAAATCGGTGATAACGAAATTTTCGTTATCTGTGTTGGATTAAGAGATATTCCCTGGAAACTCACGTTAGTCGATGTGGAAGTGAAAATAATGTTTTGAAAAAAATGTACATGTTTAATTATTGTGTAATTTTGGTCGTGTACTTGAGTTCATGGAATATCGAGAATTCTCGATGGGATTGAACGTACGTAATGTCTTTAACAACATGAAAGGAATATCGGTCAGTGTTAAAATTGTTGTTGTACGTGGACACGCTAATTTCATCGAGCCAGAATCAGATCGAACTGACGCTATTAATATCGGCGATGGCATAATCCAATAAAAAATTTGATCGAAACCAGATACGAATTGGAGTTTAATTCCACATCCCTTCAATTACGAAAATCGATGGATCGTCTGGAGATACTGATCCCATTATTCTTGACAATTTGATATTGAAACCCCAGGGGTGCCTATTTAATCGGGGATCATAACAATCGTGTAAACATTTTATTAAATGACACACAATCGCATGAAATCGAATAAATGCATGTCATCAATCTGAACATCTCGGTTTTATGGATGGTAATTACATCCGCCTGATTGACTGGTGACTATATAATCCATGGGGACTTTATCATACATAGATTATCGAGAGGCTATCGCTAAATGTTTGGGAGATTCCCGGGTAAAAAAAAATGTAATGGAAATATTTTTTTTTCACAAATTTTCAGAAATTTTTTTTTATGAAGCAAAAAAAAATCGGTAGACAAAATAATTTTATTTTTTTCTCAGTGTGTGTTTCTCAATATTTTCAGATTTACTATTTCTCCTCTTCAAAAATTTTTTATCCATCATTTTAAAATATTCAGAGTCTGTATATCAAATGATAACACCCAACGCATGTGCGCACAGACGTCACATGCGCTAGTAGAAATAGATCGCCGATAAAATAATATATCCCGATAATTTATCGCCTCCTCTTTTTTTCAAATATAAAATGTTCCATAATTTATCTTGAGAACCTCTCGAATGATATTACCTCGGAGCTGGTTGTCGACGTGGTGCTGTCAGCGCTATCAGTGTTGGCAGAGGACAAGGGTGACCTGGAGCCACGCTGTACCCACCGATCCCTGATGATGGCCACACCGGTGACCATTCCGATTCTACTTCCGGTACCAGTACCGGTACCAGTGGATCTGTCACCACCACCACCGGTACCGGCACTTCCACCACATGCTAGCTCCAAAACATCCCCCAACACTTCCGACAATTTGTCCGGCACTTTGACGAGTGCGTCCAATACCACTTTTTATGCCCAAGTGCCCCTCACCCCAACAACCCCCTCCGCAACCCCCAAAAAAAATAATTCAAAAGAATTATCAATCAATCCGCGATCACCTTCCAACAATTCTACCTATAACCCTTTATTTATTGCTCTTTAATTAATTTATTAATTTATTGATTGTCCGGAAAAATTCTTCAACGATTGTCTGACTTTTTCAGTGATTACTCAGTAGTTTAACTATTGTTGTTTAATTATTGTTTATAAGGCGATTATCGTTTATTTTAGAAGATTATCGAACCACCGACTGAACGATTTTATGAACTATTTTTATTTATTTATCTCGATTGTTTTATCGAGGCGGAGAAATATTAACGTCACTAGCGCATCGTTACTCCAAACATTTGTCGTCGCCCGGGATATCTGTTCGATTGATTATCCGGAGAATAAAAAATTTCAGCTACAACTAAATTGTTTAAATAAATCGAAATATCGGGGTACCAGTGGCGTTTGTTTTTGTTGATAGAAAATATTGTAGCGATATTTTTTAAACCGCAGACCTTCACTAAAATCACTCGAAAAATTATTTAACCCCAATTGTGCGCTTTTTTATTTATTTAAAATCGATTGTGGAGATGTGAGGATTTTTAATAAAAATAAATATATATATTGTTGTAGGTTTATTGTGAAGGTGTGGATCGTTGATGTTGTAAATAATTGGAAAAATATAATAATTTGTTTAGTAGTTTGTGGAGCGCATAGTGAGGGTGAGACTGTTGGAAGCACTCGGCTAGGAGACGAGGCGAGGAACTGGTCGGTGTTGATCGGGGTGAGGAGGTAGAACCCGATGAGAGCCGAGGGTGCTGAGGTGGGGTGTAAGGATGACGAAGGGGATGACGAGGGTGAGTAGGGGGGTTGAAAGGAGGAGGTGGGGGGAGGCGACGAGGACGTGGGGGGGCAACGAGGACGTGGGGGGGCGACGAGGACGTGGGGGGGCAACGAGGACGTGGGGGGCGACGAGGACGTGGGGGACGAGGAACTGTCCAACTCAGTTAGGAACTTGCGGGCTCGAGTGAGAGGTACGTGCGTGCGCCGGCAACAGGTTACTCTCTCTCCTCATCTTGTATTGCTCTTGTTGCTCTCTATCCTCTATTCTCTATCCATTTCGTGTCCTCGTTCTCGTTATCCTTCACCATCGGTTGCTAGACCCCCCGACTCCATCCTCCGTCCTCCAGACCCGGGTATATCAATGCGTTGGGCCACTTTCAGGACTTCTCAGACCGGTCAGGGTAATATCATTGTTTTTTTTTTCACGTTTGGGTTTTCAGGGGAGAATTTTTAGTTTTGGAAAGAATTTTAACGTCGTTTATCGTTTTTTAGTTTTTCGGAGAGCTTCAGGGGCATGAAAGGATTTATCTTGATTTTTCGATTTTTTTTTGAAAATTTTTTATTCTTTTTTCAGGGTATCCGTGGTTTTTTTTTGTTACAAGATGGTTTTAGAGGTTTTCATGGGTCCTAAGGCTTTCGAAGACTTTCACGAATTCTCAGTGAAAAATCATAATTTTTGAAAATTTTGGTTGATTTTTTTCTGAATTTTGGAAAATTCAGAATTTCTGTTTAATTTTTTTTTTGAAGGCCTCTCGGGCTATTGTTAATAGCCTAATTCTTACTTCCAGAATTTTTCCAAAATTTTCCAGAATTTTAATCGATTAATATATTTTTTCCTTTCGTCCAGATAAAACCTGATAATTTTAATGTCAAAAAATATAGCAGCAGATGTATAGAAATCTATTTAACACTTGTCCCTCGAGCTTTTTTCATATCTCCTAATTAATGTATTCCCCAGGGGTACCCTGAAGAGTCTATCGAGTATTTGTCCAATTGTCACTCGCTTTTACCCGGCCTTGACACTCTGACCTCATTCGTGACCTCGTTATCATCACATCTCTAGCTTTGATAACAGAGACGGATTCAATTCCCGCGATTATTCCAAACAATTTAATGATCTGTACAATCCCTCCTGAGGCACTTAAACCCCCTCTCTCAGAAAATCCATCTTCATTAAATAATCACTAAAAAATCTAAAACCTCAGATTCCAATCTAAATTTAATTCCCATTAAAATTTCCATATTTTCTGACACTCTCGCTGCTTACATATGAATTTGCGACGATTCCTCAATTTCATTTCTTAATATCAAAAAAATTTATTTTCAATTTTCCAAATTTTTTTCTCAGAACAATTTTCCATAAATAAAAAAATTCAAATTCATGAATTATTCTGTCGAATTTTCTATCCCTGGATTTTTATGGAGATTACCTGGAATTTATTTCTCGAATCTATTTCTCGAGCGATTGATTATTTATTTACGGGATTATTTTTATTATTTTAAATAAATATTTTCCGTTTTCACGGTTTCCATGTGAGTTGCGCCCGCGCAATCTCGCGATTCCCTCGAAAGCTCAATAGTAATCGCTTGTGGTACAGAACCGTATCGATCCCAATTTCATATTCTCCTTGGTCTCTGCCATTTCACCTCCCACTTTTTAACCAACACACCCATCACGCATTTACGCACCATAATTCCCATTACATTACCACCAATATTTTATTCCCAATATTGCACACCCCCGAAAATCCGGATTTATTTTATTGATTTATTTTATTGATTGACATAAAAAATACAACGCTTTCGTATTTTGTCATGTAATCACCAGATTATCCCTAAATACCACAAATTCTCACAATAAAACAAGACAATAAAAAATAACCAGCCCGAAAATGATTCAATTTAATATATCATGAGGCAATCATAACACAAAATCAAAATATCACACGCACAGGACAGGAAGATCAATATCTAAATGAGAACCCTGAAGAAATAGACCACAAAAAAAATAGGCCAATCATAATTTCCCTATGGTTTATTAAGTTGCGTGGGTTCCAACAGATTTTGGATATGTGGACTATTTTTTTTTAAATTATTATCATTTTTTTTTTAATTCAATCAGTCGATATGGAAATAAAAAAAAAATAAATCTGAAGAATGATGTCAAAAAAATTGAAAATCATCTGAAATATTGAGATTCATTATATATTCCCCGAAATTAATCATTGATTATTATTTATTTATTTATTGTTATTTATAATGATTTATTATTAATATTTATAAAAATTGGAATTATGCAAATTATTTATCTGAAGTGTAATCATTTTATTTAATTATCTGCGACAATTTCATTTTTTAATTATTATCTAAAATCGATATAAATACTGCGTAATGAATTAATATTAATGATAATTAATTCTGGGCGAGGAGAATGAATAGATCTGTAATTAATTTTGATTGTCGGATGTCGATTGTCTGTAATTGTAATTTAACAGGGAAATATTTCATCGGGATTGACGATGCAATCGGGAAATCCGGTAGTGGAAAATTGTTGATGTTTCTGACTTCCGGTTACACCAGCGATTCCGGAAAATTTGGGGAAATGGGGAATTAAATTTCACGGAAACTCCGTCGCTAGCGGACGGTTTTGACGTTGACTTGTTCCACTGTCGAGGGTAACACCTCGACGGAAAGATAAAGCAGCCCCTGCGAACTGTTTTATCGGCTCTGGGGATGTTTTTGTTATCACTAGAGAATTTTATTATCGGCGGACTTTTCAGAGATTATGGAAAATGGACTAGACCCGAGGGAAAATTCACCGGTCGAAAATAGACCGCAATAAAATGCAATCAAATAAATTGAATCAATCAGTATTAATTTTAATTATTAATTAATTGAATTCCTCGAGAAGCATTCATTTAAATTTTCTGTCAATCAATCCAATTTCCACGGAAATAAAAATTTCCAATTTAAACTTCCAATATAATTAATTAATTCTCCACAGAAAGTGCGGTGACTGCTCATTGAATTTTCAATTAATTGAATATTCTCCACGGACGGAAAAATAGTGGAAAAAATCCGTGAGGAGTTGCGGAAAAATTTGTTGGTTGAAACGCAAACGTCCACCCCATGGAGTACACGGTGAAAGCGGAGAAATTAACGGAGTAAGTAAATAAAAATATTATTGAATGCCTCCCAGGTGAAATTGCATTTATTTATAACAATAAATAAATGCCAAACCACCGGAGCTCATCAGTTACGTATTTTAACCCGATGATCCAATAATTGAGGTAAGATTTTTCCATGGGAAGTGGAAAAAAAGCTGGAGAAATAAAAGATAAAAGTAATTGCAAGTACCTGTGACTGGACGGCGCAGTAATTACGCTGGGGTTTTCTCCAGCAATCGAGCACTGATGTGGGTGGAGTGTGACAATAATGGAGTGTTCGATTCGTCTTCATTATTAATCCCTTGGTGGAATTAGCTGGTGGATCGGGCCATCGGTCCAATGTACTCCAATATTTTTCGTAATGCTTGACAGAGTAATAACGATAGACAACTATTGTCACCGCAACAACAAGTGCCAATCCAGTTCCTGCTGCTGCACCCAGTACTGCTGCTGACACCATTTTCCAAGATTGATGGACAATCAGGGGAGTGCAATTGACAGGATCTATCTGTAATGAATATTATTACTGGTAATTCAATAGCTAAATTACAGAATGGTTCAATTCGACTGTGATCGATACTCAGTTTTTCATTGATATCTGGGAATCTGAGGGAGATGGCGAAATTCTTGGTCTGACCTTTTTTGTAGAGCGAATTGAGGGCTGGAAAAAAGGTTATTATAAAAATTTCATTATTCCCCTCAGATTCGGAAATATTCGCTTGGAATATGGAAATTGTGTGAGACGATAAACTGAATAATATCCGTTTATTTCTGATTTTAGGAGTAGTTTTTTGAAATTAATAATAATGTAATAATTGAATAATTAGATCATTGAATAATTCAAGATAAAAACCAAGACACGAAATCCCGAGCTTCCAGTTTCCACTGAAAATTCGAATTCAATGGTATTTCATACGCCCATACCATCCGTAGTAAAATGAATAATAAATACAAAAACTTGATAAGCCACATTGAATACCAGTAATGCTTCAATTGTCCAATTACCGATGCTGCAATTTCTCTGGTTTCATTCCCAACGAATTGTATCCCCACACAGTACAAACAGTTGGGGGTAGAAACGCATTTTTATCGACGAATGTCTGTCACAAATTAAATGTCTCGTGGTCTCATGTACCAGCAATTCAGCTTAATTTGTGGCCAACACTAGTAACAAATTGCTTGGCAATCGATTTTCCGGGGGAGCCTAATTGAAATTATCGCGAGGGATGAAAATACAAATACCGGGAGATTGGGAGTGCCTTCTTTCCTTTCTTTCTCATTGGAAAAAAAAATCGAGCTCAAGCCAATCATCTGCGGCTATTATTAATTTTAATAATGAATCTACAAATATTTTTTTGAATTTATAAATATTTTTTATCAATTGATTCCTTTTGTTTGAAGACCCATATTTTTCCGCTCAATCTATTATTTAATTATGTAATTCACAATTCAGTTGTCAATTTATGAATATTTATGAATGTTTACTATTTGTTTTTTTTTTCATTTACGAGTGGAAGTTGATTGACGGAAATGGATAAAAAAAATGTCATAACGATTGTTGTTATTCGAGTGTGAGAAATGAAGTCTGATATTTTTCCGGCAAGTGTTATTTTCCCACAGATCCCTGTCATCGTGAAAAACTCGACAGTTCCGAAGCGATAAAATACAAATGCAGTGTGAATGTGAAAATGGCTCGACTCGAGGGATTATCGCCAGAGGAAAATAAAAAAGTATTTACCGTGGAATAATGACCATCGAAAGGGGAAGATTCGTTGCATTGCTATCGCTTTCCCCGAATTGTTTGATAATTTTAACAGCTGAATTTTCCGGGATGTCCCATTGAACTCGATTTCGCGAGAAAAATTCCATGGAATTCCAAATTTCTGTATCAAAATTCCCGCACAGTCGCGATTTTTATTCAGAGGTTTTTCAATTCTATAAAAAATTTTTGGCTGAAAAAATTCTAAAGACTAATACCCTTTCCTCTGAAATACACATTAAAATTTTTTTTTTGCAAAAAATTGACATGGGTGGCCGTTAAAAAATATCACGTTGTTGCATTTTGTTATTATTTAATGGCTCGTGAAATTTTGCGGTGCGAATAGTTTTCGCAATAGTTTTCATGCGTTTTGTCTAGTTTCAAGATTTTTTAACTTTGAAAAAAAAAACACTCGACCCTCTGTATTATTATTATTATTCCAAGTTTATTATTATTCCAATTATTATTCCATTATTATTCCAAGTTTAATGTATAATTGAATCAAATATATTCGATATTTAATTCCTTTTCCTAAAAAATGAAAGCCCGCCGAAAGTCCTTCCTTTAATTCATCTAAAAAAAATATATTTCCAGAAATGCATGTCAATTACATCTCAACAAAAAAAAATACATAATTCGAAATATATTTTGGATATATCTCTGCAGATATATCTCTCCTCTCACATTGAAGATATATTTAAAATATAAATTAATGCATTTTTAGGATATAATTCCGGCGATAGAAAAATAATATCTGTCATAATTTTTGGATCATCCTTTTTCAGGTGGAGAATGAAAATGGCAATGACAAATTGTCAAGACTAGACTAGCTAGGAAAATACATGTCTTTATCTGTTGGCGAGGTGTATCATCTGCAGTTGATTGACAATTGTGTGAAACGTTGGAATATTGGTGCCTGGAATTGTTGTATCCTTGGATTCACCCGAGTGAACCAGAAGATATAGACGCCATTGAGGTAATCATCCAGAAGAGCTCCCGGAAAATGTTTTCAATTGATATGGAAATATTTCTCGAGGTGCTCCGATCGCACCGATAATTGCCTCAGAATCATCACTTCGGCAAATTGTTGATGGTGATGAATTTACGGAGTTGACCTGAATTTATAATCTTGTTTGGAAATTTCAGAGGTCCGGAACTAGTCAGGATGAACAAGTTTCATTCCTCCAGGTCATTTCTCTGGTCTCGTATCTCCAGTACAAATTTGTTTGCATCACAACTCCCACTCCAATTCTTTTTATCGTCCTGGAGTTTGGCAGATTGGATCGATGGAAACGGGATTTGCAGGAAGTGGTTCTCTGAGTTTTTCCCTTTGATGGAAATCCGTGCGATTTTCAAAAATTTTTCAAAAATTTATTTGAGAAATTTTTTTCGAATTTTCTAGAAATTTTTGGAAATTAATGAATGTGAAAATTTCGAAAAAATATTTATACCCGGGAATTATTTAATTAAGAAAATTCAGATTGTTTTAAAAAATCAGTAGTTTAAGAATATTCATTGGAATTTTTTAATACGAATAAATCTGCAATTGCTCGATGATTTACACAGGATAATCGTTTTAGTCTTCTGAGTACAGAGTACCCCAGGGTATTTAAAATTCACGAAGGACATTCCATCAAGGTCACCGAAGATCCCCAGTAAATCTAATTTTCCAGTAGGATTGTTGAATAATCATGAGGGTTATCACATCTAGCAGAAGAAGCGATTCAACTGACGTGGAAAAATAAAATATTCCGATTTTCCCCCGTCCCTCCGCCATTTTCCCTCCGTCTCCTACCCCAAATTTCATTTTAATAGATATTTGTCAGGGATTAACAATTTAATTTCCCGGGGTGAGAAAATAATTCCAACTTTTCACAAACTTCAATTATTTTCGGTGGGGAAATTCTCCCGATTAAATTACCAACTTTCCGCCATGTGGCGAGTGCCTGGAAAATGAGAGGAAAACTCGTAACGAGTCGCATTTTCCACATTGATAATTCAGCGAAGACATGCGACTGACAGTAAAAAAATTATGGAGGAGAATTTTTACTTGCGTGGGAAGTTTTTAGTATTTTTAACCACTCAAGTTTTATCGCTGTAATTGTAGTACATCAGCGGGAGAAATAATTTTAAATGTTTTCATTGCGCTATAAGTATCCGTAATACTTTCATTTTCTTCGGCTCATTTTTATTTATTGTATTATATTTTTTTATTGCATTAGACTGATTGCGTTTTCGAATTTTTTGGGGGATAATGGGTCGCAGCAAAAAAAATTCATTCGAAGGCAAAAGTCCGTGGAGTTTTCAGTTTCAAGTTCCTCGAAAGATTCCAGCAGTTCTGCTTTCAAATAAAAAACATTATATTGAAAATTGCCGGGTCGGTGATTAGCTGAAATAAAATTACTTCATCATGACTGAATTAACCTGAATTTTTTAATCCTATCGCACGAAGAATTTTCTGGGGCATTAAAGTGCTACGAAGGCATTCGCCAGAAGTCTTGGAGTCACTAAAATGCTGATGGTAATTGGCCTTTTCAATATATCTAGCACCTCCTCAGAATGATTTATCCCTGGAAGATACCACTGGGGAATTTCACCGCGCATTCGTTACGCTGTAAATCTGCCGGGATAAGCGGAAAATTAATATTGTCTCTCGACCTATCAGATTGTGCGAGAGAGAGATTTCAAGAAAATTTAATTTCAGAGTGAGAAAGGCCTCTGATTTTATACAGTACGAAAAAGAGGATGAAAAGAGGATATGTTGGCGGTAATCTGTCGTGGGAGAATGGAGATAATGGAGTGACGCGTTTTTTTATTTCACGAGGTGAGAGCTCAGTGGTGATTTGTTGAGAGCCGAGGAAAAAAAACGAGAGAAAACGTGTTTCCCTTTCATGTAACGCAGTAAAAAAACAAAACCACGGGAAACAAAAGAAAATAAAATGGAAAAAAAATGTGGAGATAAAATGACTCACATCCCAGGAATGTCCTAGAACAGGTTTTACATTTTTTTATTGAGGTGAATTTGACTTTTGGAGGTTTAAAAACGTGAGGTGGATGCGGCTACAGCGGCGGCCATTTTTGAATTTTTTTCCCCCGCAGGGCGGAGCGAAATAAAATGGCGACGGCCAGAACTCATTACACATTTCTCTGATTATTATCAATAAATGTATATTATTATCAAGAAATAAATCAATTTACTGCAATTATTCGATTTCAGATTTGAATCTGCTAAATTTCTGGGATGTTTAGGATTTCGTTTTATTATATTTTCAGTGGAATAAAAGGAATACTCGACACGTGAACTGAATTCTAATCCCACATCTACTCCACACCGAAATTTCCATTCTCTGAAAGTTCTGGTAAGCCAGGATTGCTCGTATCAGTGGAATACTGAAACCACGCAATTCTTATCGATATACCGGTAAAAGCATAAAACCGAAAATTTCCGCGATAAGCCAAAAATCAATAATCCTCGATTCGCGTTGTTGGTGGATGATGTCCAAGACTTGATGGATGTGCGGGTAAAAAAGGTAAACATATTTCCCCCGGTACCGCCCACGGACATGAATCTTCATTGTGATGTTTTTACCTCCCCCGCACTATAGGGGATTATCATTTAATATTTCGTATTCAATGTAATTGAGGTGAATGTACCCGGGACGAAGCAAAAAAAAAAATAACAAAGACGGAATACAATAACAAAATACATAATTAAAATTCCTCACTTCCCAAAAATGGAGCGAGCTAAAATGGCAGCCATTTTTTTTATTCGTTTCGTTTCGTTTCCGCAGCGAGGAATTATAAGAAAAATTAAATAACGTATTTTCTCCAGTGGAGAGAATGACCTTTCCGTTGGCGGAAAATGTTTGATGAAATATTTCTTGAAATATGAAATGTTTATGAAATATTTAACAACACTTGGGGTTTTTGTATTTCAAGAGAATCGAATAAATAATTGAATTAATTACGCATTAATTACGAATGAATTACGAAGTGATTCACTGAGTGTTCCTCTAAACTGCCGGGATTCCCAGAAATTCATTTAATCAAATTTCCCGCGGGATAGCAAAAACATTCGACACGTGAACTGAATTCCCCTGACTCATCCACTCTACCCCGAAATTTCGAAACTACACAAGTTCTACCAATCGAGGATTGCTCATATCATCGGAGTACTAAAGCCCCTCAATCCTTATCGATTCGCCAACAAAAGCGCGAGTCTAAAAAAAATCCGCGATAAGCCACAAATCAATAATCCCCAAGCCTGATCGTTTTTTTTCTGAAACGCAAGATTTGATGGATGCACCGGTAAAATGTGTAAACATGCTTTTCCCCAGCTGCCACCCACGCCACCGATCCTGATATTCTCTGAACAACAAGCTATTAATGAAAGCGAATCATTTAATATTTGTCGCAAGAGGAAACGAGCTTGAGTGGATCGGGAAATGAATTAATCAAGATTCGCGCCCTAAAAAATCGTGGATTCATCATCCCCCGAAGGAACGGCAGAAACAGCTGTTGATTCGAGTTCTGCAATCGGATAGCAAGACGGACGTGATAATTACTCTGGAGTAATTGCACATTTGCTGGAGTAACGAGAGGTATGTCTAGATAAAAATTAGTAGTAGCTTTGGTATCAATGAATTTATTCGTTAAACTTTCATTTCGAGGTGTATCCTTGCCAGGCCCTGCGGTCATTTAACCACGAGTTAGCGATAAAATTTACCACAAAACTTACGGATCTGTCTGCTTCACTCCATTTCACTTTCCAAACAATCTTTGGAATTAATTGATGAATTACAATGAAATTGCAATGAAATTGCAGTGAAAGTTCAAGGAAATTTCACCCAATTGAGTCAACGGTGATTGAAGGCGAATAAATTGCGGCCTTTTTAACGCGTTTTTTTTTTGCGATTTGAGGGATGCAGTTGATGTGGGTTCTTGTGGCGCGATTCCACTCGTTACTGAATCCAACAGCTAGTCGACCTGACGACAACCAACGGCGAAGCGCGTGGGCAGGAGAACATCGCGCATGGATATCCAAGGCAAATCCACACCACGAAAAACTTCATGGGGAATGTAAACACCTTGCAACTAGCTACCAGGGATCACCAATACTTCTGTCAGGATCTTCCTCCTCTCAATCTTCTGTAGATTGATGGGGGAGTCTGGGGCATGCCTCGGAAGAACCACCGGATTTAGTCGAACATTTATCAGCATTTTTTTCATCTCCGGTGGAGATCTTCTAGCTCAATGGACTTGACTTTGACTTTTTCAGGTGAAAGCAGGAATTGAGACTTGGCGTTTTTTTTTTTCGAAATCGATATTGTTTGGATTGATTGACTCCAATTTTTTGCAACTCGAATTTTTTATTCATTGATATCTTTAATATCTTTAATAATATTTAATTTAATATTTGAATTTTCAACTGAAGGATAAACCGTTTTAATTTATTCCCGGTCAGGTTTTATTTTTACTAAAAAATTTGGAGATAGTCTGAAGGTGTCCCAGAGATTTCTGCGAATTTTCTTTTGTATTTTTATTATATTGTTGTTTTTATTCGATATGATTTATTTTTAATTAATTAAAAAATCGGTAATTAACTAAAAAAATGGCAATTACATCGAGAGGGGTTTTGATTTTTCAATTTATCTCCAGACTGACGTGATTTGAATACTCGAGGGGTGATTTGCCTCTGGAATATTCGCGTTAGAGTGACCTTTGACAGAATGAGAAAAAGGAAAAGAAATTTCTGTATTACATTGGCTACTTCCGGTGTTTCACAGCGAGACATCTGACTCTTTCAATCAGTCTTTGTGCTGAGGAGCTTTCGAGATGGCACAAAGTGATGGAGACTCCCCGGATTTTCCGGGGACGGGAAATTTCCTCCGAGGAATTCACTGTTTCGCTCGAGACTCGATTGATCTTGTTATGGATTTGTACCCATGACGTTCACTGTTAAAAAATATTGAGTGAATTCCTCAGATTTTGGAGTATCTACTCCTTTCCTCGCACACCCAATTTTAAACAAATTATTTATAACTAAAAATGAGCGACACATGAAGAGATTAATATAAAATAATAATAGAGAAATCAGCGAGAACTTGATGAAGATATTTGGTGGCGAATGGCCAACGATTTGTACTCTTGGGGTGAAAAGCATTCGGTAGATCGACATTCAGAGCTTGATGGATCCTTTCTGGGAGTGATTTGAATGGGTTAATTAGTAGAGAGCGATACTATCGCTGAAAGGTCAATTTGTGGGATCTGTGTTGGCGGTATATTTATAAAAATCATCATAGAAATGTCTCGGGTTGCGGCTTCGCTGAGGGATGTGCGTGTGTTTGATTAATTTTCCACGTTGATTGACAACAATCAATTGCTTTGACACGCACTGCCCACGGCTCCACTGAGAAATCATAATCATCTCCAATCCCTTAACCCTTTCATTCATTCCGTATTTCCACTTAAAGAAATTCTCCACGTATACTCAAAACAGAAGATTATCACCCCGTGATTATACTTATCGCAATACTTATCGTAATTAATTTTTTATTAATATTTCACTGCGTTAAATAGTTGACATAGCCATGGAAAATTATTATATTCTATTTAATTTTAGGAATAAATATTATATTGTTTGAAGGAATTAATAAAAAAAATTATTCGTGAGGCTCCATTTAAGCAAGTTCAAAATTTGAAATTTCCAATTTTCAAAAATTTCTCTAAATCTCAAGGTCAAAACGGATAATTTCGAACAAAGTGATTATTTTGCAGTGAATTTTTTAAACTATTCACTATAACAATTGAAAGATAAAACAGTCTATTCACCCTCAGCCGATATTCCTCCCAAGTATTACGTAATGCTGATAAAGTAGAGGAACTTTTTCTCAATAGCTGTCAACCCCGATTGCCTGAGCTGATTTAATTATTTTATCATGACTCATTGCACTATCGAATCGATTTTTATTTTACGGATCGACGAGAAAATCGCGGATGCGATGATTTTATGTTTTTAATTAAAAAAATATAGCGGAAAAAGCTAGGGGATTTTTTAAATTCATTATCGCCGAATTCATATTGAAATGATTTTTTTTTAGCGAGAGTTAATTTTATGTTTGAATAAATAAATAAAAGAAATTGCATATATATATTTTGTAATTAATTCTGAGCGCTACAGCGGTAATTATCTGCGCGCATTATGGACCTAGTGAATTTTTAAACGGATTTGCGAAAAAGAGGTTTGAGGTAGAAAGGAAATGTGGGAATCCCATCGAGATTAATTATTCGAGTAGGAAAAATGGAGGGACCTGGAGAGAGGACTTGCGCTTTTCATCAGCACCAGGTGTCATTCTTCATTTTCATTAATTATTGATGAAACTTTTGTTATATATTTTACTTTTCAAGGATCCACTCCAGAAATTGCGAGAATCGATTAGCTGCTCTCGACGCCCACACGCATGTCGAATTCTGAGAATTACCACCCGATTTTTATCGTGAGGAGAAAAATTTGCAGTGAAAATCACGAGTTTTTCGTGAATTTTTTTTATCAATTATTTCCCAGGTGTCTCCTAATTAACAATTTTTTATTTTTCATAATTAATCATTTCTCCACGAATATTGATCGGTTCGGTTAATAAAAAAAAATCAAACCAATTCAAAATGATCGTCACAATTAGTCCGACGATTTCGCGACGGTATTGCAATTTTTAATTAGTAATTAATCATTTTTAATTTTTAATAATGAATGGTTTTTTTATAAATAGGGAGTAAATAGTTGTCGGCCTGGTTTTTTGGGTTTAATAGTGAGCAAAATAATTTAAACTTTTTATCATACCGATTTTTATGATTTTTGATTTATAATTAAAATATATTCATTAGTTTGATGACTGCAGGCATGTGGGGGCATGTACTCAAGAAAATACATGAACTTTTCAGAGGGAATACGAATGAGGTCAGAGACTGCTGACCACATTTTGGATTTAAATCTCCCAGGGAACATAATCGCTCATGGCTACAGGTGGTTCTGTTGTGGAAGTGTTTGGATGGTACATTGAAAAGATTGGTGGGCGGATTCTCGTAATTATGAAGCACTAAATACACTGGGTATTAAAATATTGAATGGAGCTTTCTCATTTCTCGAATTGAGTGAAGGATTTTGAATCCGGCGTGGGCGGTCTCATGAATTCCTAGATTGAATTTCGTGGAATTATATCATAATTGCGACAGCTAGATTTTCGCAATTAGCACATATTAAAAAAATTTCCTAATTGAATTGAATTTATGACTCCTATCAATCAAATTTTCTCATTTGTGAAATTGAACTGATGGTTTTACCATATTTTATTTGATGGTCTCTCAAACTATATTTTTTATGTCAATTTGTTGATGACTGTTATTAAAAATTTATTCATTATTTTTTCCCGAAATTTGTCGACAAAATTTTTTAAAAAATTCTCAGAAATTTTCTCGGAAAGAGTGCAAAATTTTATTCGAACGGGACTAGAATTTCCCTTATTCAATACTTTTTCATTTTTCCACCGATCGAATTTTTCTGAAATTCCGTGTATTTTTTACAGAAAAAAAATCATAAATTCCAGGTAAAAGGGTGAACATCTTTAAATTAATTGGAGTGATCGACTCACCCCCGATAAATCTAGGTGCGTGGATGATGAAGTTGAGCAGCAGTTGGCGCCACTTGTCGAAGCGTAATAGATGGGGGTGGTGGTGGTGGTGGTGGTGGTGGTAGTGGTGGTGGGGTGACCCATTGGGATTGTCAGGCAGATCAGGCAGCTGAGCTCAGTCAGCCTTTCCCGTGCGCCAAGAGAGGGTGGAATAAATTTGTCACAAACACCCCTAAATTCAAAGTATTCCAGTTGAATAATTCACTGTTGAATATAATCAGTGTCACAATGATTGCTATCTGGTTACACGAGGTATTTCAATCTTTCCATTGATGAGGGATAGAGTAATTAGTGGTGTTTTAGGACACGTTACCACGCGAGACAATCCAGGCGGAGTGACTACGCGACCCAGTGGAGAGGGTCAGCTAACGATCAGACATTCTATGTAAGTCAAGTGTCTTTTTTAAAAGTTGGTGCCAATATCTCCGCATTTTAATAATTTTTCACTAATTCCTGATAAACAATTCACCAAACTCCGCTGCAACGTGATAAACCGCCAGTGTATTTTTTTTAAAGACCAATTTTTTGCCAATATCTCGTAATCGAAGGAAGACACCGATTTTTTCATACATACCTTTTTTGTAGCTCTTATTTTTTTAGATAAAAAATGTTTGCATGTAAAATTCGGTATGTTACTTCAATTCGGAGATATTGGGGGAAAACCTCGAGAGGAAAATGCATTTAGACTAGTTTACCTTTTCGTCGCTGAATTAATTTGAAAAAAATTACAGTTTTGGGATTTTATTGTTGTTTAATGTCTGATGGAATTTAATCACGGCGGGAGAATTTCTTGACGCTCTCAGTAAACTTTGGGAAAATTCCGGAAATTTTACAAAATTTGTGAGTCATTAAATAATGATAAGACGAAGAAAGAAATTTAGGAAAAAAAATGAAAAATGAAAGGACATCGGTAACAGCTTCTTAGTATCGAGCACTTCATCAACTCCATCCACTTTAAATTAAATTCTATTCAATTTATCATCAGTGCACTCTCTGTCACTCACAAACTGCGATCAATTTAATTTCCCACAAAATATTTCCTAGAATTTATTTTTCAAGTGAATTCTTCCAATAA